AAGGGGTGGAGGAGGGGTGTCTAAAGTCAAAGATGAATCTTGATTGGGCCAAATTTGACCCCGAGTCACCCACAACAATTTTGCTGGGTCCTCCCAGACCCGAACACCAAATTATACACCTTTTTTTTTTAGAGACCTTCCGACTTGGCTAAAATTGTAAAAATCTGTTTTGAAGTGTTTATATAGCTGTTGTGGAGGATATCATGAAGCCTTGTTCCGGTAAAGCCCTGTACGATGGGCGCTGTAAGTGATGAAAGTGGGGGGTGTTGGCTTATCAGGCGTCTGCAGCTCACAGCTAAAGTGGGCGTGGGAGCGAGCGAGAGAGATAAATGCAATTTATGTAAACACATATTTCCAAGGCACTCCTTTATAATTATTGGGATAAACAGGTTTGAAATCATTTCAATGTATACTATAGGACAGTAAACAAAAAATACAGTTTAAAACTTGAGAGATACAAAAATATGCATAAATAAATAAATGTTAACTGGTAAAATAAGATATGAATGAACAACAAAAATAAAAGAAGTTACATGTATTTGTTATTGGCTATGGGTTATTGGTTATTGGTTATGTTCACACACTTATTTGATTATTAAAATGTAAACCGATCTTTTTCATATGGGTGTTTAGAGTTGTACCCCCTAGATCTAGTCTCTAGTATTGTGTGCAGCAGATTGAAGCATTTTACTTTCAATTTTCAAACATTTCTTTCCGGGGGGGCATACCCCCGGACCCCCCTAGAGGATGTGACGTCCACACCCCAATTAAAACATGTTCATACAATACTGAATACATTTGAAGCCTTTTTGATGTATATTACCTATGTCAATAAGTTTCTGTTTTTGTAGTGTATTGGTCTTTTGTAGAGATTTTTCATTTATTCTTTATATATTCTATTGTGTATTCCTTGGATTCTTTTATCTTTTCTACTGAACGATTTAAGTAAATGTGGGAAGCGTTTAACAACAGCCATTTACTTCAAAGATTTTTCTCAATGTTATTCTTATTTTTGTTAATCCTGGAAGAATGCCAGAAAAAAAGACATTCTCTTCAAGAATAAAAAAAAACATGACATTAGTAATTGTGATAACAAATTAAATAAGTTGTTAGGTTAAGTCAGGGCGGTCGCCTAGGGCGCCATATCTGGGGGGGGCGCTGCGCTGGCAGCTCTGGGAGGGAAAAAAACATTTTTGACTGTTTGCGCTCATCCTAATTTTCAGCCTTGATGTAACAACATTCATAATTAAGTAAATGTAACACCCTTTTCACCCCGGTTACACTTTTCATTTGCCCTGTACGATGGACGCTGTAAGTGATGAAAGTGGGGGGTGTTGGCTTATCGGGCGTCCGCAGCTCACAGCCAAAGTGGGTGTGGGATCGAGCAAGAGAGATAAATGCAATTTATGTAAACAAATATTTCCAAGGCACTCCTTGATAATTATTGGGATAAACAGGTTTGAAATCATTTCAATGTATACTATAGGACAGTAAACCAAAAATATCGTCTAAAACTTGAGAGATACAAAAATATGCATAAATAAATGTTAACTAGGTCAAATAAGATATGAATGAACAACAAAAATAAAATAAGTTACATTTATTTGTTATTGGCTATGGTTGGTTATTGGTTATGTTATACACATACTTATTTGATTATTAAAATGTAAAAAATTCTCGCCTAGGGCAGCAAATTGGTTAGAACCGGCCCTGATGGTGTAGGAAACGGGCTCCGTGTCAGGCCCGGCTCCAGGATGAAATGACTGAGGGGGCTGTTAAAAAATCAGAGGGGGCGATTTTTTTTTTCACAACAACGAAAAATACTGGCAATGTAATGAATTGACACACCAAGCTTTTTTCCTTCTTACTGCTCTACAATCTCTTTGCTTCTTTATTTGTATTTCGGATTTACCCCTCTCATTCTGTTCTTTTCCTCTGATCTTTAATAATAGATATTACATTATTAGATGGCTGCACTTTGGTTAACAGACTAACATTGATTTCCTCAATTTATAAATTGACAGGCTCTGTAATTATACCATAACCTTTTCTCCTCTATCCCTTAACTCGTCTTCCTATACAGATTTACTTACTTACTATCTACTCTAGTCATGTCAGGATTAAAGAACAATTATTTTCAGGATTGAATGTTCAAACCAAGGCTTAAAAACTGGCATTTCATAAGAAAGTGACTAATATATAAACCAAATGTAATATTGGATAAAATACTACACCAAATGGACAGACACAGATTCAAAATAAAAATAAAGTCCCCTGGTTTGTCTCTAGAGTCTTATGGCGCATTTCCACTACAGCGCGGAGCTCGCTTTAAGCGTGCCGTGCCGTGCCCGGCCCATTTTTGGTTGTGTTTCCACTTGGCGTAGTTCCGGCTAGCGGGTACTATTTCACAGTTTTTCTGGCCCCATAAAATCGAGGTTCTTTCCGGGCCAACAACCATAAAGTGAGCCAGTCCTAACAAGGCCTAACGAGGCCTAGCCATACCGAGCGAGGCCGAGTGAGGCCCTGTAGTGGAAATGCGCCATAACTGCCATGAGAAAAATCCAATCAATGTTCCAAAATCCGTCACTAGATGTCGCTCATTGTACCAATACAGTTTATATAATACATAGGCCTAACATATTATTATTATAGTAAAAGGGCTCGCTTTGGCAAAAACCTGATCCATACAGGCAGCCCTAAATGATAACAAGTAACCATCATGTGTGGTGCTATCTGCAGTTGTCTGTCTTATTTTTTGTTGATTTCATATTGTTTTTGTATTGCAAATGAAATTCCCCCTGGGGACAATAAATCTAATCTAATTTAATATTCAATCCCACACTTGGCGATTGAGAACATAAATTCGTAACTTACCTCGTTTCTTTTGTCCAATATCTCGCGGGCAGGTACATTGAATTAGAAGTAGAAGAAATACGCTAACGCTACAAAAAGGCACAACACTGTTACTCTGTTTTTACTGACATGTAACATTTTATTTCACCTTGCTCTATGTTTTGTAACGCACATTAAAAAACGGGAACATTTTCGGGAGTTTCAACCGTTTCAAGTTTCGGTACCGGCCACCGAAAACGGGGACTTTGCCCGGAAAACGGGGACGTTTTGGTCACCCATCCGACTGTGTTTACAGCTAAGCACACATGCTAACATTAATCAGTGGCGTTTTCTCCCGGAGGCCAAGGGAAGCCAGGCTTCCCCTGTTTTCTTGGATTGTAGTTATAATTTAAATAAATAATTAAAAACACTTGGTTTTGTTTCGATAATTCTCCTTTGCTATGTGTTGCTGCCGGCCCGTCTCTCCCCCACTCTCATTGAGTATTTTACAAAGAGTGAAACAAACAGCGCCCCTCTAGATGTTATGGTGAAACAGTAGATTGCATTCACTGTTGCAAGAGGAGGCCAGCTGAATCAGGCTTCCCTTGGCGAAAAAAAATGGAGGGATTGACCAATCAGATGAGGCCCACGTGATGCCCCTGCCAACATGTGATTGGTCAGGGCCATGCCAAGGGAAGCCAGCGGTCTCTGGCTTCCCTTCAGAGGCGGCTGGCGGCTGGCGATTTGATTAGACACTGCCATCCCATCAAATCACATCAACATCAGTTTTACTACGTACTGTAGTAGCCTACTGTAACTGTCATCACCGCCGTTTGAAATGATCAAGCAAATGAAGCATTATGGAGGGTGGAGATTTGGCGTACTTAATCAAACATAACTTTACTAAACTTCCGCTACAGCAGCAACTAAATATTAAATCAGATGACAGGCCAATGCCCACACTCGAGCTGTGTACACAGCTCGGACGTTCAATGAGGACAATTATGTCCGCACGGGTGGGGGGGGGGGGGGGGTGTGTCTGCATAAATGAATAAGAAAATGCTTAAATGAATAAGACGAGAGTTTCGGCTGGAGAGTGCGTGCGGACCTGTCGGTTAGATAACAGGCGTGTGCAAGTCCTGCATCTGTGTGATACAAATGTGTGTAAAATGATACCGGGCGCTGTAATCACTCATCTGGTTACCACCCCCCCAACCCCAAAAAATGGGCTTCCCCTAAATTTTTCCCCACGCCACGCTACTGACATTAATTAAGACTACAAGCTCACTTGGGTTTGAGGCTTTTTTACACGTTGCTTGACTGCCTGCCCACATATCTGATCTAAACATAGTAACATGTATTGGGGAAGATAATTATTTAATAATTGTGACATTTATTGTACTTTTTGATGGATGAATGATGCTCAAGGTGAGGGGGTAAATAATTTTTGGCCCCTCGTGGTGCAGACACTCTCCGCGCACGCGCGCACACACACACACACACACACACACACACACACACACACACACACACACACACACACACACACACACCACACACACACACACACACACACACACCACACACACACACACACACACACACACACACACACACACACACACACACACACAAGCCGCAGCTCCTGATCAGAGACGAGACTCACGTTCACTAAGCGGAAAAACTATATCCTGTCACAGAGATCTGCTATTTTAAAGTTAAGTCAACACATATCGACCATAAATAAAGTCTATATTAAGAACGAGAGATGTTTTAACATATGGCTTAAACAAATGACAATTGAGCGAGGGTGATGACGTCAGAGCATCGTCCTATGTGCCGGGGCTGACCACGGACAGCCCCGGCCCAATTTAACCCCTGGGGGTAAAAGACAAAATAAACAATGTTCAATTGCAAATAAAGCTAAGCAGGACAGATAATGTCTTTCCATCTTAGGGAAGGGTGGTGATTTCGAGTCCAAAGAAGTAATTTTTACTAGGGACAAAATACAAATTGATCTCTTTGGTGGGAAAATGCTGCAGAGCTGAGTTTGAAAAATGATTGTATGAGGCAGAAAGGAATGTTCCATGTCAGGACAAATCCCAGAGCAAATAACTGCACAGATTAATGAATCTCCAACCATTTAAAATGAAATCACTCAGTGACTGTTTAGTTGCAAAAACTTTATTGTCCGTTTGATGTTTTCTTTGACATTTTCACCCATAGTTCTAGAAAAGTGGGGGTCTTGCAGATTTGGACCCATTCCTTTGATATCATACTGTGACTGGTGCCAGAGAACGGCTTCATCTACACATTCGATCTGTGATCACATGACTGGTTGCAGCTTGGATATACTAATGCAGTCCTCCTGACCCAACAGTCCGGGTCGAGGGAGTAGGGCTCCTGAAACCGATATATAACACTGCAGAGGGATATGGTCCGGCTTTATGTGTGTGCAGTGATCCATCATCCAGTTTTCTATATGGGTGCAGGCGGACCTAGACTAACATGCTTACTCTACTATCGCCTCATGCACCGCAAAGTTTGTTGTCTAGGAAACAGATAATAGTGCATTAAATGTTGATATTGTCGCTTTTTCAGTTTTTTGTTATGCGAGTGTGTAAACCTTAACACATTTTCACATGTTTTCATCCACATTCTAGTAAACGACACAGTGTTTTGCAACAAATTAAAATCACGGGAACGGAGAACATCGACAACTTGTGAGCTATACATTAAAGTTTTACAAAACAAACAACTAAAGGCTTCACAAACGAGGAGAAAGGGGCTCGTAGAGATTATGTTAATATGAACAAAATGCCAGCTAACAGTGTGGCCTAAATCTCACGTTTAGGTTCTCAAATTCACCGTATCATGTCACCTCACAATAAATCCCTTCCCAATGGCAAAAAAAAAGATTAAACAAAGAATTAAACACATTGAAATGTCTGGATTTGAATGCAACGGGCCAGTTTGAACTGCACATGAGATGCAGCTCCGGCATCGGTATTGCTTGGTGGTTCTTGTTGGATTCCAGTTGCACTACGATAATACTGACATGCTTAGAGGGAGCTGAAGAAAGAGAGTTTGGCGTGGTTGGTGTGTTTGTGTTTATAGAACCAGCTTAGGGGTTCAAAGTTCACGTTGAATTCCAGTTGAGATGACAATTTAAATGTCATGTACTTTCCCCTTCTAAGAGATCAACGTTCATCGTCTTACATTTCAGTCCATTTCTGTTCATTTTGGCCGCCATTTCCTGGCCCCTCTGCCGCCTTACAAGTCCAAGGCTGTTTGGAAAATAATGGCGGGAAAAGAGAAACTTTTGCAGAGGTTGCATGCGAAGTCGAGACGGGCGCTCCCTGATCCGAAGAGACGAGTCAGCACGTTTTAGTTCGCCAAGGTAAGGTAGTCCGGTGTGAGCTGACTTTAAAGTAGTGTACTAACACTTGTTCAACATACAGTTTATAAGAGAGAAGAAGAAGTACATCAGTAATAAGATTGCCGATCACAGTAGCCCCTGACTGTTTGGCTGGTAAGAGAGGAGAGGAAAGGAGAGGAGAGGAGCAGCATGTCTTTTTTAGAGATAGTGTCATAATACAAAGCTCTCATTGGTTAGACCTAGAGGTAATAAATAATAACGTAGCAATGGGCTAAACACAACAAAAACGAAACAATAATGTTGAGCTAAAAGTGCACAGACGACACGTGATGCCCTTCTGTTCCTCTTTCCTCCTCTTTCTGCTCGGGAGGAGTTTTAGTGCCAGCAGCGACAATCAAGACAGTTGGTATAGGGGGGCGGGGGGGGTAGGGGGGTTCCCTGCAGGACAATATCCAGCAATGCAGCACTATGGCAGGGTAAGCTGAGACTGGACGGAGAAGTCTGTGTTTCCGTGTGTGTTAGAGTGTGTTACACAATGAGTGGTCCGCGGCGGGGATGTTTGGGACTCTGGCCGTCCCGGTTCTCAGCCCCCTGCTCCTCCATGTTGATGTTGCTGGTGGAGGTGTGGTGGGCGGGGGGCTCCAAAACAGGCCTGTAGCCTCCGAGGTACATCAGACCTGAAGGAGAGAAGGAGACGAAGAGACAGAGGAGGGTTATGTTGCAAAATTCAAACACACTGACAGGAATGTAATCCCCACCTTTATTGATCAATTAATACTTAAAGTAATGTCCCATACCAAACTGGCATGACATGCTGCTTTCAGCCTCTTAAATATGGAGATGTCCTGCTTTTATATGTTTTATATCATATTAAACATAATATATAACCTTGGACAAGAAGGACATCTTTCACTATTGATTGGTTAATCCTAAATATAATGGGCAGATTCATTGTTAACAAAAATTATTGTTTGATGCAGCCTTGCATAGCAGAGTACTGTCTCACTATATTGTTTACTGATTTGGTTTATTATCATGCCAATACGTTTTCATCCAATTTCTTTCATCTGCATTTTCAGGTTGAATTAAAAAACCTACCTTCCTTTTTTTTTAGAAATAGTGACGCAGTTAAGCAAACTTATTCTGACTGAAGTAGATGTAGGCTAAAGCCTTACTTTAATAGCCTTATAAGTTATTACACAGAGAAAATGCACTAAAACACACAAAAATTATATACAAATGATGTTCAACTATGAATCCCTTTTCAACACCACCGTGTCACACTGCAGTCCTCCTGGCCTGTAACTGCAGCTAGAGGGATCTCAAAGGCTCACCGACCAACAAGAACTGAATAACAGTGAATATCAGCCAGGGGATCAAATTAATTATTGATAGTTGTATGTCTCGACCACGGAGGATATGAATAATGAATAGCATTGGCAATGAAAGCTGCCTCAGCTCAACTATTACTGTGCAAATTGAAAGTATGAGAAAATATAATATAAGGTCTAGGCTGTGATTGAGGAGAGATACATGCTGGACTAATAGAGAGAGACTGCATCAGAAGATATTTGATTACTGATTAAAACGGTATTGTGATGAACTGGTAAACACACAACAAGAGGATGATTGTTATGGTGCATGCAATCTACGAAGTATCACCCTGGTGTCTGTTCTAGCATCTAGCCATAACTCCATACCTAGTCCTCAATGTGCACTGGGCACGACTCCTCATCTGTCCATCCAAAAGAAGGCGAAAGAAGGAAGAGAAAGACAAGGAGAGGAGAGAGATGGGGAAGAAAATGTCCAGGACAGCAAAAGATGTGAAGAATGACAGAGAGAAAAGGAAGAGAAACAAAGAGATAACACACTTTTACGACACAGAAAGAGAAAACATGTCACACCATCCACCATAAAGGACCAAAGGGGGGTGTTAGGTTCAAGGGGGTGAAGGTAAATCAGGGTTTTGGAGTCTCAGCACTACCAGAAGGATGCAGAGCTAAAGGCTGTGAAGCAAGTTTGACCTCAACTGTTTAGAAAATAGTAAATCAACAAGAAAATTGGCACCTTTAGCTCTCATCGCAGTAACCTGCCGAGTGTTACAAAGCAGGGTGGAGGATAAGGAGAGGATGGAGGGAAGATGGAGGGCTGTGAGAATGAGTTGCAGATGTTTGGCGAAGCGGCTCGGAAGCTGGCAGACGCTGACATGAACTTCAAACTCTGGGATGGACCAGACTCTTAACTCTCTCACACTCAAACAGACCGTAAACACAGCATGCAGAAAGCTTTCTTCAGACACATAATAAGATACACGCACACACACAAACACAAGGGCTCTGGCTAAAGGAGGGGGAGAGTGCTCAGCTAACCGGTGCTGAAAAAGCAATGAAGCAACACAACACCAAATAGGGTAGGGATGAAGAGAAGAAGGAAGGCTCCATATCTTCATGCTAAGCAGAGATGCTAGTCTTGGTTGCTAACTGCCGCTAATTAAAACACAATTTTCTTGTTTCTATGTAGTTTTTGAATGCATTAGCATGTTAGCAAAGCAAGCTAATGTGTCAAAAAGCATTGCTTTTTACTCATGCACTCTTTCTCTCTTATTACCCCCCCTCATCTTCCTCACTCCCATGACTAGTCCTCAGCTCTCATTGGTCCATGTTCGAGAGGTTGCCACTCACCGGCGAATCGGCTGTCGGGAGCCTGCTCATTATCCAATCCCAAAGAGGGCGTGTCACAGAGGGCGACGCCCTGATTGTTATTGGCCAACTCTGGACACCTGCTCCGCCCACCTGCAAGCGAGGGCAAAGGTCAAACAAGAGCAGCCAGGCACAGCAGGGGGGGGGCAGGCAGGGTGAGGGAGGGGGGGAGGGTGTCAAGAGGTGGAGGGGTGGAGGGGTGAGGTTGGCCATGCTGGAACGGCATGAAGAAAATAATAAATGATAGAATATCTCTGCATTTTACCACCAGTTATCTGACCTAAAGGTGAGGTCAAGCTTTTGGTGGTTTCAAATCGCTCTGATCCTCAGTGTCTTTAGAATAGTTTTGAAGAATTTCTGCTTCATAAATTCTATGTGTGTGATCAGATACTTGCAAAGGGTGGTTTTTGGACAGAAAGACACATACAAGATGGAGAGGTTGTTGAAAACAAAAAGAACTCATTTAGTAGAAGAGACTTGTGTCAGTTTTGTCTAAATGTGTTAAGGGCTGTTCTCCGGTTGTACAGTAATTTATTGGTTAATTAATAAAAAAATTCGGTGTGGCAGGATGTTTGAAAACATTTGCATAGTACCATGAAATGAAGTATTGTTTAAATGCATCTTCATAATAAAGAAATATTTATCATGATTGAGGTTTTCATCCAAATCGCTCACTTTTTGTAAAGAGATTTTGATTTATACTGATATGCACTTTGATTTACTGCACTCAAATGTAGCTTTGATCGCCCACAATGTTCACTTTGTTTGAACTAAAAACTAGCCACACTGATGGTGAAGTGAAGGGGAATCATTTAAAGAAATTAACAGACATTTTGGTATATATTCCATGTCTCGTTATAATTTAAAATAGTTTACCATTTTGATTTAAAGCCCCCAACATGTAGTCACATTCTCAACTTCTTTTGATTTTCTGATGAATGAGGTAAGCCGACAAAATGAGCTAGAAATATCCATATTAGTTAGATTAGCATTTTTAAGATTAGCATGTTACTGCCGTTCCCAGCATGGCCAGATAACAGATACTGACATGTTTCATCAAGTGCCTCATGCCTGCAGCAAGCCAGTGTGTGTGCGTGTGCGTGTGCGTGTGTGTGTGTGCGTGTGTGTGCGTGCTAATGAGGAAGAAGATGAACTGGATGATTGGCAGCTCAGCACAGAGACACAGGCAGGGCATACAGAGGCTGTCTGGCAGCGCTGGTGCGAGATGCAAACATACACCCTACAGCGCGTGTGCACATTCACATTCTGTCAGGCAGCTCAGGTCCGCTCGCCTCCTAAAGAACTCAAAGGTCATTCTGTATTTTACAGGAAGAGTGTTTCACGCTGGCCCCAGGAGTCACACACACACACACACACACACACACACACACACACACACACACACACACACACACACACACACACACACACACACACACACACACACACACACCACACACACACACACACACACACACACACACACACACCACACACACACACACACACACACACACACACACACCACACACACACACACACACACACACACACACACACACACACACACACACACACACACACACACACACACACACACACCACACACACACACACACACACACACACACACACACACACACACACACACACACACACACACACACACACACACACACACACACACACACACACACACACACACACACACACACACACTCATTAAATACACACGTTTTTAACGGTTTCAAAATGAAGGTGACCACGTAGTTTCTCTTCAAGCCTTACAGGTCAGGGTTTCACACTCTGTACACCACAACACTGACTTTAGCACTCCAAGCTCTCTTTCTTACACACAGACACCCATACACAGATGGAGCAAGAAGAAGCTTTGACATCATGATGCAGCGGCTTAAAAAAAGCAAACGATGCAGAGCTTTTGAAGGGCAAACACGTAAATGATGGCCTTTATACAGTAAATCCTCAAGCACACATGTAAGCTTTTTATACTGGATAATAAAGAGGTGCAAACCATGCAATAGCAAGCCAGTAGCCTTGTGTGCAGCAGAACCTCATATATGGTACAGGAGGCCTGTATGTGCTCATTTCCTTTTATGAATGAAAGAATGCTCCGATCGATGGGAATCAGTCGATATTGTTTGCTAATAACCTGATTACCGGTCATTAAATTCAGCAGTAAGAAAACAATGATTGTAAATAAGCGGAAGTGTATGAATAAAAGTCACTCAAACAGACTTTTTACTGTCTGATCTGTCAGCTGTGAAACAACTCAGAGATGGAGGCTCACAGAGGCTAAGGTTAAGATTAAATAAATGGCATGAAAAGGACTCATTTCTGTTTCCTGATCTCTCCGACTCACTTCAAAGTACTTTTCCAATTTAAACAGGATTTTTTTGTGGATGGAAAAGCTTTCATTCTTGCCGCCTTCACTGTGAAGTAGACCGACGTTCTATTGCACACGAACTGTATGAGAAGCCATTCACCTCAGCTCAGATAATACATGTTTTCGTGCCCCATCTAGAGGACACAATCTGACATTGGATTCCTTTGTTTTGAAGTTGTTTTCATTTCTCAGCCATGATTCATAAATATTCAGAGACAGCAACAATATATAATTTGAACCACTCAGTTCCTTATATGTAGTTTGCATGAAAAGTTTCTTATTTACTTAGCATGAGAGCAACAAAATGCAAAGGGAGGTGAGAGGGCAGGGGTGAAAGGTGAAGGATGGTCTCCATAGTTACCTTTCCCATTGGACGGGGAGGAGCAGTCCTCTTCAGTGACATCGTTCCCCTGGAGAAAACAGAGAGCTCAGTAAGACTTTAGGGCTTCAGGCTTCATATTTAATGTTGATATTCAAAATATAAATCAACATTATACGCTTCAGGTCTTTCTTTTTTTATAAATTAGGCTACATGAATATTTTTGGTAATATACTTTTTATAAAATTGGGTTTTAGCAGTAATTGCATTTGATTGTTTCTGATTCTGATAAACAAAGTGCAAATGTCAAGATTTATTGAAAACAGATCAATGTTATAATTTCCAAAATTCAAAACATGTTTTTTATAAAACAAAATATTGCGCTTCAATCCATATTTGTTGGTGTTAAAGATTTTTCAAAACAAAAAAAGTGTCTTCTAGAAAAAATCTTGCAATTAAGACTTTTTTAAATCAAACGTAACAGTAAGTGCACTGTAGAGGACGTCAAGACCATTTTAGTGTGAAAAGACAGAATTAACCGATGAACTATGTAACATATTATGCTTATAGAGTGATATAAATACAATAATAAATTCAGCTTCATTTAAAAAATAAATAAGTAATTGATCTGAACATTGCTTTAAATTTAGCCACTAAAGAACTAGTTGGTTTTTTGATGAAAGCTGCCACATCTTCAAAGACTTTGTAGTCAATACTACTACTGTACTACTGTACTACTGTACTGGGAAAAGTACTGAATGGGACTCCAGTCTGCACGTGTTGTAGGGTCATCTGACTAGTTTTATGGAATCTCCAGTTGACCATACTCATAGGAACAGAGTTTGTATTCCTGAGGCAATTCATATTTTTCATTCCACTTAAAATAAAATAAAAAGCAATAAACATACGTGCTACTCTTGGCTCACAGAGAGCCACGTCTTTCCTGCACATCCCTATCTGTCTCTGAGTCTGTATCTGAACCTCCTGCATCTGTTTATCCTCTTCTTCTTCACCCTCTTCTATACCAGGTGTAACATCATCATCTCTCTCTTCATCCAAGAGCTCCAAATCTGAATATCCCTTAACTAAAGAGCTGTTATTTCAAAACACAAATTATTTAAATACTTTCAGAACTAATTATATTATTCCTAACATGTTAAAAAACAAGCACAATGGCCCACCAGTGTCTCACTCACCTCTGAGTCCTGCTCCTCCACAGCCACTGAGTAGTTTTGTTCCTTTGGCTCCTGGGAAAACTCCTGAATGAAAGACACAAAGGAAACCAAAGTGTTAGAGGTATTATACTGTTTTTCATCAATATATTATAGCTCTCAGATATATACAAAACATGTCTCTGAAGTGTTTGGCTCCAAATACCAAACAGATCATTGTAGCATCCCATAATCCCCTCTGTTTCAAAAGTGCTTACTTAGATATTTGGTTAAAAATAACACAATAGTGCTCTAGGAGGATATTCAGGTAATAAGGTGGGGGGTGTTACCTTGGTTGGTGATTGGCTAATGGTTACACAAGCCAAAACATCGTAATGACATCATAAAGTGGCCAAAATCTGATCGGCTCATTTTCAGACAGGTTTTTATATAAATGGATCAGGACAAAAAGTGAGCGAATCTTTTTTCCTGAAACTTTCAGAATCTCTTTACACAGAGGGGACACATGTTTAAGTAGAAAAGACATGAACAAGTGGATTTTGCATAATAGGTCCCCATTAAATAGATGTCAGGATGGAGCAGCGTATTCTCTTCCCTCCCTGGATTCTCACCCCGTCCTGCTGCGACGGTCCTCGGCTCTCCATGGGGGCGTCCTGGTTCTCGTCCCCCTCAGCGTCTCCGCCCTCGTCCCCCCCGGGCTCGCCTTCTGCCCCCGCCAGGTAGGACCCTGACATGGAGGACATGGTGTCAGTGCTGATGTGGGAGTGCTGCGAGTGGGACGAGGCCATGGACATCACTGACTGGACCAGGCTGGTGCTCACTGGGTCTGACAGACAGACGGACACACACATCACGGTCGGGCTCCGGCTCCGAGGACTTGTTTCCTCTGGTTGCCAGGTAACATTCCCACCATAAAAATAAAAAAAAGTAATAATCTTACCTTCAGACCCTATTGGATGTTCTGGCCATTTGTTTTTTTAAGTGAGCACCTTGAACAACCATCTTATTGTGCGTCCCTCTGTATTTTGTTTCATTACATTTTTCATGAAGTAGTGAATATTTGAAACCAGAGTATTCTAATTTATTTTGAGTAAATCAATTCGACAGCTCTGTCAGAGACACGGGATGGACTACACAGGGATTCACCATGTTGGTCACTTTATGGAACCTTTTGTTCCGGCTGGAATAACACTCCTCTTCCTGTTTTGTGCCAAAAAGCCATTTAGCAGAATTCCCATAAAATCAGATCCAGTGGCACAGACGTTAAGTGCTGAGGTGGTACAAGCTTATTATTTATTTATGTTAAAATGCTTGATGCAGCGCCTGGAGGGTTGGTTTTTTTCCTCCTCAGCCTCGGTCACAACATGAAGGGGGAAATGTTTATAGACTACTCTGATGCAGCATTAAATGCCTTGTTGATGTTGACACAATAATGTTACTACTGTAGGTCCAAGCAGGTGATTGCAGTTAAGACTTTTACATAAACGTAAAATCACATGTTATACAGTATGATGAATGTTTGAAAGAGGCTTAAATACAGAATGAGCTCATGAGCCCCGAGAGACTTTTATCTCTTTTTGTTTTTGTTTCTGTTTGTCTCACTGAACATCTGATGATTTTCTTTTCTTTTTATCAGCGTGTGTCTTTGTATTTAAACATTGCTGTGATTTTTTGGTAAGAGTATACTATATTAGACTCATTATTCTTTAACATTAAGAAGGATTATTTATTTTATTTTAATGTTTACTTGTACAAGGACAGGAACGTAGCATAAAGCAATTCCACATACTACAGCATTATTATATTGCTGCTTGTTTAAAAGGCCAGTTGGTTTAAGTTCATGACGCCTCCAAGCCTACATCAGTTTTAATGTTGGTGTCATTATCTAAATCAGGGATGGGCAACTTGGATGGTGGTGGGGGCCACATAATTTATGTACTGGCCACCAGGGGGCCGCAGATTCACTTGGAACACACACACACACACAAATTCCATGTATTGTATGTAATTATTAACAAATATACTAAGTCTGACATCTTCATTGACATTTTACAATCTTTCAGGGAACATCCTCTTATAAGCTCACTAAACAAATATCAGTTCACAGAAATGTTATTGGCATGTTAAGTGGCATGTTTGTATTGAACAGGTTATTTAACAGTGGAATCAAACTATGTTAAACTATTGGAAAGCACGGAAAGTGTGTGTGCATTGAGATGAACCATTAAGATGACATAAACATGAAGTCATGAACACTACCCAGACATTAGTTGTCTAACTTGAACCTAAGACACTTGTAGCCTGTCTCTGCTGACGCACAATAAGGGGAATGTCAACACAGGCACCTGTCAACCTGCACTCTGCTGTTCCTCAGCGCCGCTCCCCCTCCCTCCCGCTGAAATTATGAATGAAAAGCGTATAGTAATCATAGATAACACGGCAGGGTCCGTGACAGTTTGTTTTCATCTGATTTCAAATAAACAAAGTCTTGGTTTTTAGAATATTAAACTTGTTTTTCGCCAAATTCAGATGATAAATACAACTTTGAAGCTTGTAAAGGCATAATTACAAGCGGTAACTTAACGTCACAGCAGGCATAACAACAGCCGGTGTTTCTTATGAGTGTTTCCCCGGGAAACAAACACAATACACACAAACGCGTCACAGATAATTTTGCGGTATTTGGCTGCCGAATGGAATTATGTACGCAGCTCGCGACGTAACTAGGAGTCTAGTGGACGGTATCAGTACTACAAGTAAGAAAATAAAAAATAATTGTTATGCCCCCGGGCCGCCATTTGCCCATCCCTGATCTAAATGATCTAATTCTGGGTCTGCATTGTGTGACAAAAAGTGTGTTATGATTGATATTGTTGTATTACATGAATGCATCAAACTAATGCTGTTGTTTGTCTGTAAGCAATATACCTGGGCCCTGGTCTATGGTTATGTTAGGGAAAATATATAGTGTGTGTGTGTGTGTGTGTGTGTGTGTGTGTGTGTGTGTGTGTGTGTGTGTGTGTGTGTGTGTGTGTGTGTGTGTGTGTGTGTGTGTGTGTGTGTGTGTGTGTGTGTGTGTGTGTGTGTGTACCTTCAGGGGAGGTGATGGTGGAGGACAGGGGGGTTCCGGTGCAGGACGACTGGTCGATGGCTCCAGAGGACGAGAGAGTCAGGTTCTCGCTGTCTGGAGTCACTCCGTTCTGTAACAACGGGAGGAGATGTTAGAGAGGAGCTCACAACAACAACATAAAGCTTTTAGAAGTATCTGCCCAATGTGTTTTTCTATTTGTCTCCGTTTCACACACTCATACAAACACACACACCTCCTGCTGGTCTACGGCAAGTTTGTGGCGACAGGCCTCGGATTCACTGCAAGACCTCTCGTCGTCCTCCTCAGGAAGCACAGATGAATTCTGGGAAAGTGACCTGAAATAGACAGAAATAACAGTGAGTGGTTTTTTAACATAATGACGGGGATTGTTTCCATAAAATAATTGAATAAAACATACGTCTATTGTTAACTAGATTATGGTTTTAATGTTCATAATAGGATATTAAAATAATAATACAAACCACTCAGATTAAATCAAACTAATACAAATATAAATTGGAGTGCAAACATAGGCATATATTTGTTAATCATACTCAACATGAGCAGCAGGATATCTTTCTGGCAATAAATAATAAACCAACAAACACATATATTCGTAGTACACATTTTTGGGTACCACTTTACAATAAGACTACCCTTATAAAGGATTCATAAAGGGTTTATAATTAGGTTATGAATTAGGTTGTAAACACTTTATTAATCATTAAGAATAATTTATAAACCAGTTCTAACATAGTTTTCATACATCAACACAGGCTCACTATTTGGCAAGCTGACTAAGCCTTATATTGGCTACTTATCGAGAATCAACTCAGTGAGCAACAGATACCAAGGATGCTGGCTGATGAAGAAGACGAAGTAAGCTAGGTAGCCAATATAAGACTTAGCAGTACAGATAAATGTGGGCTCATTATTTGGAAAACAACCGGTCACAGTTGCCCTGTTTATCTCATGTCTTATAAAAGCTTATTAATGATTTATAAAGTGTTCACAACCTAATTAATAAATTAATTACAAACTATTCGTAAACCCTTTATAAGGGTAGTCTTATTGTAAAGTGGTACCCATTTTTGTCTGAATGCAAAGAAAAATACAGTCAATACCATTTTTAATAAATTATTGCGATTTAATGCTTATGTGCTAGCATTAGCTGTCGCTTATACTCACTTTGAACCACTCTTCTTGAGTTTGAGTCCCTGACTGGAGTTGGAGTGGTCGAGCGGGGAGAGGGAGCGGGCCGGCGCCGGGTGAGGCTCACTGCTGTACGGAGGCAGCGTCCCGGCAACATTGCTGGGACCGGAGTTGAGAGGAGGGTTCACCACGGTGCTGCTGAGGGGGCCGTTCAACGCCTCCAGGAGAGACACCACCTCGTAGCCTGGAGGGATGTGCTCCGACGCCTGAAACCAGGAGGGGACACTGGTGAGTTCACTGGGACTGGGAATTTTATATTTATTCAGGTTTTCTGTGTCAACGATTTCTCACCGAGTGTTCCTCAGAGTCAGAGGTCTGTGAAGTGATGACGGGGTTAAAGCTAGAGGGTGACAGAGGACTCAGTTTCTTCCTCATGGCTCGGATCTGCAGCAGAGCTCTGAATGCTGAATAAAAACACAAGATGACAAAACATTTTCAATATTTTTTTAAGTATTAATTATGATCCATTGCTTGTCCTGAGGTATAGGCAGTACAAAACATTACAAGCTGGTTAGGAGTCACTATGTGTGTTCATTGTTTGCTTCAAGTAAAGTGAAAAATATATATAATCAAATCTGTGATTTAAGTGAAGAAAGTTTTAGAAGTAATTGAACTATTTCAATTATGAAGTATTTTAATATTGTCCCTTAAAAATCATTATTAAATGCTGTATAATGTGAATTAGGGCTTATACCTACAATTATTCAGCAGGCTATAACACAGTATAAGTAGTTTATAAAACATTATGGATGGATTCATGTAAGGGAATTATTGTAATAAAAACAAGTTAAGATAGCATTAACGTTGGGAAGCAGCTTTTATCAAAATGAATTCCCTTTTTAGGCCCCTTTCCTCTCATTTGAAAATAAATTCTTCCATTGCTCATGGGAACTCACGCAGTCTGCAGATGGGGCAGCAGTTGGCCTGGTAACGCAGAGTGTCTGCGCAGGCGTTGCAGAGACACAGGTGTCTGCACGGCAGGATCAGTGTGTCTCGCACATCCGACAAACACACCACACACTCAGCACTGTTGTCACTGATCTCATCGTCAGCAACCTGGAGAGGAAAAAAGTATTGTAAAGTCGAGCTGCTCGCATCCCCCCCCCCAGTCGTCGTCGTCAACGCTCGCGAAACAGAGGGCCTCCTCATATAACTTTGCGTGGGGCCTGATGTTGGCCAGGGACGTTCCTGTGCGGAACGATTTATTTGAACTAACTATCATGTCACTCCTGACGCACTCAGAGAAGATAGTGCTGTCTGATATTTACCTTTGATTCTTGGCTGTTGTATTTGTTCTCAATCCCATAGATCTCCTGCAGTAGATAACTCACTCCATCCACCTGGGATAGGACAAAAGTGAAGAGTAAAAGATGGTTCTGACGAGGGAAATAAAGCTTTGGTTTATCTTTGACTTTGAAAAGCATAAAGAATGTTACACAAAAGGAGCAGGAAGGGGAGACAATAAAAGTATTCACCACTTGTTTCTGCTTTAGAGGCTTCACACAGTAGCTCCCGTCCATGTGCTGCCAAAGAAAGCAACAAATGTTCATTCATTTGTCAAATTCTGTCAAAAGAATCCCCTAGTTTTTCTATTCTTGCGTTCAGAACTTGCAAGAGAATCGTCAAAAGTTATCTTCATTGTAAAGGTATTGTGATTGTGTCTAAACATCCAGCAGTGCTTTCCCAGCAGTAACCACAAATAGCAAATTCAGCATATTTGTGGACGACCAAAAATGTAAAAATGCATAAGATTCAAACAAAAGAGTACAGTCAGTGTGTGAAGATTCTATAGTTATGGTTATCATATCAGTTATTATTATACATTTTATAATTTTGTGGGTCAAAAGTCTAAAAGGTCATTTCTGAGCTATTTCAATTGAATGCTGAATCATCTCTCCTTAGTTGCGGACAACACAGTTCAAATAATATTTATGGTTTCTCATTGATTCTTAAATAAACTTATTTCATCACCACACAGCAGGACTTGATGCTATTATCAGCATCAAGTCCTGCTGTCCGGTTTTTCTGAAGCGAGCAGTCATAAAAAACTTAAAACAACAAATACCTACAATCACATGTGACTCAAACAATCAACCATAATGAAAAAAGTTACTGAAAAGGGACCTGTCAATAAATGGTTCTTGCTCTGCTGCAATTTCTCTGATAAAAAAAGTGTCTTTCTTACCTTTTCAAATGTAGCCAGCAGTATGTGAGAGTGGCCCAGATGTTCTGCAAGGATTAAAAAAAACAGTGCAGACGCCTTAGCTTAAAATTCTGCAGTTCTACTTTCACATCAGACCATCAGTGTGATAAACACACAGTCACTCACCATCCCCCTCGTCTACAACAGCCTGCACCACCATGGGGAAAACCTCTTTGTCCACGTCAAAGAGCAGCTGAGAAGAGAAACACAGTACATTTGTATCTGCCCTTATGTACAAGTTGATGTACAGCCTCATGCAGGCCTGTGTTTCATTTGCTCACCTCCTCGTCGGCCCACTCGCTGAGGTTGACGGTGTGTGAGGGCAGGCAGAACTGCTGGCACACTCCCCTCTTAAAATGCACTGTCTCAGACTGCAGAGAGCTGTCCTGAGGCAGGTACCTGCAGGGAACACACACACACAGTCAGTGCACAAAATACATGATTGCTGCCTTCTGCAGCCTGACATGTGGAGTGGTTGATTTCAAGTGTATTATGTTTAAACTAAAACAGTGTATTATGTTTAAACTAAAACATGTTTTGTTGTATATGTAAATATAGCATTCACTAATGTGGATCGATTTTCTTCATCCTGTCTGAACAGAAATAGAACCACAGACAGCTCTTAATGCAACATAAGTAAACATATATTTGTATAACATGTGTAACACTGCGCTGTCATAACTTGAGAATGTCTGCATGAATATTCATTCAAACATTTTTCTGTTCTATACTAGCCTGTCTTTTTTTTATATACGGAGAGCAATTTAAATGATGCAACAAAGCTGAGAATATTTCTTTCTAAATTTGAATAACTTTGTACTTTTGATGAGATGTAAGGTGTGCATATAAGAGCAATGATATTAAAAGGGAGACTTGACAATAAAAAATTCTATGAGTTTTGCCAAAACAAAACCAAATGTTATCTATTGATCAAAAAATCTGTTTCCACTTACACGGGCACTCCATTGTGAAACTCCTCCATGGCCTGGTAGTAGATGGTTATGGCCACCTGTGTGTCAGCGTCGAAGGTGAACTCTACGTTGTAGCAGGCCCTGTTCTTCCCCTCCGCCTCGTCACCCGGCAGCTTCAGGTCCTCGCTGCACCTACGGGTGGGGGAGGAGGAGATAAGGACAAAGGGGAATGTTTTCAAGTAGAGAACAGGAATATGAGCAGGCTCAAACTCCATTTAATGTTTGAGTAATGATTCATGGAGTGTATATTTATCACACAGGCGTTATCCCAGCTAAAGAGTGCTTTGAGCCTTAATAGTCATACAGAAATGATCTTTCAACGGTGGATTCAGTTATAGTTTCATGACATTCAATTAACATATTTAAAGGAAATCATTTAGATATACGTTTCTTTAATCTCTTTTCATAAGTATTATGCTTATTTTTTTGGGATAAGGGACATTTTTTGCTTTTAGGATAGCCTTAAATATTGTTATTTGATGTTATATTGTTACACTTATATGTGTTTTTTTTACTTTACTGAGTACTGCTGAAGAATATTTGAAAAGACAAGAAAGGTGCGTACCGTACGAGCCGCAGAGTGTCCTTACGGATGTTTATAAGGCTTCGTAACGTCTTAACTGGTTCCTGAGGCGGAGGGGCTGCGTATGGGAACTGAAAGGAAACAAATTATAGATGTAAAATACATGTTATGAGAGAGAAGAGTAGCAGCATTCATCTCCCCTCAGTCCGCCCCGACATTCCTCTCTTGACCACAGGAAAGTCAGGGTTACACAATGGCCCCGGCTGCTTCTGGTTTAACCTTAACGCGAGCGTTTCGGTTGGTCAGCACCCGCCAGATCCGTGCTGACAAGTGCTGAGCCGCAGCGAAAAAATCTGCTCGGATTGGGTCTTTCCAGGGACGAGGCTGACACTTCAGACAGTGTATAGGCACATTTCTGCAAACGCAGGACCACAGGAGTGTGAAACAGTCCGGGGTCAAACGGTGCCTGTTAACATTTCAAAGACCAGATGAGGTGAAGATAACGGCATCAGGCAAAATGTAATAGCATTAGGTCAAAGACAAAGATGTGAAATACCTTCTTTTGCATTATTTTCTCTAGTGACTGCTACCGATAAAACCGTAAAAACCCTGGTGTAAAATGGTCGCACACCCTTTGAATTTAACCCACTCTGTGGTTCACTTCTCAGCACTCTTGTGTTGTGTGTTTGAAGCCAGAAGTTGCTGACTGAGCGTAAAAGAAGAAGAAGAAGAAGCAGAAGAAGAAGAAGAAGAAGAAGAAGATGGACCTTTATTAATCCCCCGAGGAAGAAATTCAGTTTCCACTCTGTCGTACACACACACAGTACACACAGTACACACTTTTTACAACATGCACATACATATTCAAATACACACAGTTATATGCACACATGCACATGCAGTTGAGAGGTCAGAGCAGAGGCAGCCAGTCAAGCCGGCGCCAGTGAGCAGTTGGGGGTTAGGTGCCTTGCTCAAGGGCACTTCGGCAGTGGCCCAGGAGGTGAACTGGCTCCTCTCCAGTACCAGTCCACACTCCGTATTTTTTTGGAGAACCAAAGGAGAGTTGGTTTGAGGAGAAACATGCAGGATGTGGTCAGATACCTCCACACTACACACCCTCATCTGTCCGTGTGTGTATATATTATACATATTACTTTGAGTGTCTGTGAATGGCACCATATTCAGTATTTTTACACATCTGGGCTCAGCGGGAGTCACGCCTGTAAACTACAAACAAACACACGGGGTAACAGATGCTGAAAAGACGCATTCATTAGGAAACTCACAGGAAACTTCACAGCAACACACTGTATTTTCTCATACATGCTGCTCAGACGAAATTTAAATTTAAAAAAATGATTTTCAAATACAGGTGATTGTTTCCTTAAGAATTAAAAGGTCATTTTTAAATAATTTTGTACTACAGGTCGAGTGCCATGGTAAATCTTCTTTTTGTCTTTTTTTAAGTTGTGAAGCATTTCTATGCTTTAAGACTTTTTTAGTAGTTTTGTAGAGCGCTATCTTAAAAAAAAGTATTAAGTACGTTTGTAACCTTTCCTGTAGTGTAAAACTACAAAATAAATATATTTGGGGTAAAAACTGTATACTGGCCTCATAAAATAAACATGACATTTAAAATGTATTTTCCAGTTTTCATTGGACTCGCATAAACAAGCTGTAACTTGAATACTAATTACAAAAGAATCTACACCCAGCTAATGTCAAAAGGCTAATGTTAGCCACAAACGTCTTCACCTCAAGGAAGTGATGCGCATCAGGCCTGCACACATTTCTGTATTACCCTTTGCTCACAGCCCTAGATGTGAAGTGAGGCCTAACTAGCATTAAACACTAAGTTTAGCTCAGCAGATCCCACATGAAAAGCACTAAGTTAGTATAATTAATCTGTACGGGAACATTGATGTGTCGGACAAATCGCATGGCAATCCATCCAATATTTGTTGGGACACTTTACCAAAACCCAAAGAGGCCCACCTCATTACGGTGCTATTTGAGAAGGCAGGTTATCACCAAAGACAGTATAGACAGAGTTATCATGAGTGATTAATTAATGTCTGTATAAATCGAATCCATCCAATAGTTGATTAGATATTTGAGTCCCAAACACAGTGGTGAGCGACTCTTATTGATTCTAGAAAGGGTAAACGTCCATTTTGTAAATCTGTGTGCTTCGGGCAGGCGTTTCTGAAAACCCTAAATATAGCCCTATCCATTATCATATTTGTAGAGCGGTGCAGGAGGAGATCGGGAACACAACAACTGCGGTTGGTTTTATTCCACGGCACCATCTGCTTAGAAACAACCAAACATTATATAATGAAAAAAAAATCACCAGCTGCATCCTGTGCCAACAGTAGGATTATAAACACCCACATAAATCGGGAGAAAAACTGCACTCCTAATTTTAGCCCAGTCTAGACTCAAACAGCAGAGCAACTGAGATTAGCACACACTGTGATGGAGCTCTCCATATTAGCTCCCTACAAGCCTGTGACCGTTACTCGTCTGTGACAAATTCTCTATCTTTCCTCTCTAGATTTGAGCTCTTTTTGATCCGCAGCTCTCAATTGTTTAACCTTCATGTTCATTATTTGGTTGAAGGAACCCTCCGGAGGAACCGTGGCTCTTTGGCCTCTCTGAACGAGGGAGACGGTAGACTGACATTTCACTTTTAATTAGGTTGACACGATGAGACGTTGAAATACATTTCAATCAGTGACAGTCTGGAAGCTTGTTAATTGCCAATGCGGCTGGTGAAATGTACCAGCTGTTCAATGACCAAGAGACGGCTTCACATCTTAGCTGATTGTTGAAGGAGCCGTTTGACACAAGATTATTGACTGTAAATCATCTTTCAAGGCGAAGTGGCAAAAATGGCCATTTCGTTGTCTCTTTTTCACTTCTAAGACATCATGCTGAGCTGTTTTTTTTTTATAACATTTTCTGACCCAAAAACGATAAATGGATAATGAAGATACTTGAGATCTCTTTATTTTAATTCCTTGCTTTGTTTAAATACTTAAAGCATTTTCATTAAATGTTTAATTTGGGGATTTTAATTCAACTTGTCAGGGAATAATTCTGTATACATGTTTACCTTTCGCCCTCTGACGCAGATGCCCAACCTTGGGCAGCCGCTATCTCCCTTAAGGAGGGGCTGCCCAAGCATGTTGTTGTTACCAGTTTATGACCGGGCAACTCTCTTTCAGAGATAGTTATTGTTGTGGGAGACCTGGAACACATCCTTCTCGGGGTGTAGATGACCCCGAGCCATAAGCGACAACAAATGTGATTCAGTGTCCTCAGCTCTTTAGTCTATCTATTGAAGAATGTTGATTATTACACTCTGAACTAGTTAAAACCTGGAACTACAGGAGGGTTCTTCAGAATTGATTGTGGCATCTCAACCGTGTGGTCAAACCGTGGCCCGTGACATGTCTTGTGAATTCTCCGGCCGAAGCTCCAAATAAACCGTCAGTGTTTGCCATCAAAGCTCCAGCTCTCCTCGTGTCTCTTTTGAGTCCTAACTCTCCATTGATACAGAAGTTTCCCCCACACTACTCAATTTCAATTTATAAGTCGAAAGTGCCAAAATTATTTTTGGAAAATGCTACAGCTCCTTGACAACTCTATCAGGCTCAGACTTTTGGTGAGATTGTTTGAGTTTTAAACATTTAAAGGGGACATATTATATTTATTTTTTACATGTATTTTGGGTTTCTAAGAGAACATGTTACCCTGATTTAATGCTCAAATAACACATTGTGTTTGAACATTTCTGTCTGAAACACTCCGTTTTAGCACCGGTCTCCTTAAGATCCTTACTGAAAAAGCCAAGTCTGCTATGATTGGCATGCTAGAAAAATTACAAAAGTAGTTCTCACCCCGTGGGGGGGATACTCAGATGACGGGCTGTATATTCTAATCTGCATGTGTCATAGGAAGTGGAGACAAATACTATATGAATAGCTTGAATCTTGTGTTTTCTAAACAAGAAAACCCCTAACAGTCTTATTATATCAGTTTGTGGTTTGGTAGGCACTCACGGTACACAAATGAAGCACTGAAAACTTGAGTTTCCCTTTAAAACAGCTGTTAGTGTGAGAACACCTACCGCCACAGGTCTCGTCCCCAGGAAGTTAAGGTCAGTGTTTTCCCCAAACAGGTAACCCTCCGGATGGGTGGAGTCAAACTTCTCTCCCCCCATGATGAAATGGCTGGCGAAGTAACTTCCTGCACACAGAGAAACATATTAATGACAGAGGTTAGGGGTGAGCGCCATGTGGCCGTGTGTTTCAATTCTCATGCATACAGTTACTTTTGTTTTTCAACCAAGTTACTGATCTACGGAGCCCCGGAGGGTTCATAGAGAGAAAAATAAATAAAACGAGGCCACGTTTTATTAATTAGTGCGCACGATATACTTTCTCGTGCGCACAAGATACTTTCTCGTGCGCACAAGATACTTTCTCGTGCGCACAAGATACTTTCTCGTGCGCACAAGATACTTTCTCGTGCGCACAAGATACTTTCTTATGGTTAGACACATCGAACTGCCCGATTATTATGCCATATTACTAGTTTTATGAAGAAGATGTCCGGTCGCCAGGGCGTGTGTGTGTGTGTGTGTGTGTGTGTGTGTGTGTGTGTGTGGGCATTTGTTTTCAGAAGATATTATGATAGTGACGTTCGTTCCGGTGCACTCCGACAGCATTTAGCACTAGCCTACATCGAGATTAAGATTAAACGAATTTATTTCACTTGGGAATACACATATGGAGTTAGCCATGTGTGTAAATTACTGTTCATGGTAATTTGAAAACAAATGCCGGTGTCGGACACACACATACACCGAACACACACACCCACACAGAGCTGAGCTGAGCAGAGCACAAACACACACACATCTTGTAGCATTTCACATTTTCCATAGCAACAACAACTTCCTGTCAACAGCGTAACTCGCCTTCAAAATAAAAGCATCTAAATAAAACAGGAAGTTAACCTAAATTACATTTAAGATATATACAACTGCAACGAAAGTAACAAAAACAATGTAATATCCTTTTCGGTTTCACAGAACACAAATTGGGTTATTTACACATCATGCGCCCTGGTGATCGGACATCTCCTTCATAAAACGAGTAATAGGGGGAATAATCGGGCAGTTCGGTGTGTGTGTGTGTGTGTGTGTGTGTGTGTGTGTGTGTGTGTGTGTGTGTGTGTGTGTGTGTGTGTGTGAATTCAGCTGTTCTAATGAAGGTAAACACAGTGAAGGCGCTGCGTAAAAGACACAGCTCTCTATCGTGCAGATAGCAGATACTGTGAGAGTCACTGACATGAATTCATAGATCAAGGCAGACTGGTTCACAGACTCTCCTGTTTTGCGAATCCGGTGCTTAAACAAATAGCTCTACACCTCTGGCCGAAATGTCCCTAAAATGAAGTCCGAGATTTAAATATATCTCAAATAATGTTTAAATAACTTGTATCTCGTGCGCACAAAAAAGTATCTTGTGCGAACGAGAAAGTATATCGTGCGCACGGATTAATAAACGTGGCCTCGTTTTATTTAATTTTCTCTCTATTACATTACATTACATTACATGTTAGACGCTTTTATCCAAAGCGACTTACATACTCAATACTGTGGGTAATCCCCACAGGAGCAATTTAGGGTGAAGTGTCTTGCCCAGGGACACAACGACATGCTGACTGCAGTGGGGTTTGAACCTGTGACCATCTGACCCCCATACCAAGGTTCTATCCTGAACGCCGAACCCTCCAGGGCTCCATACTGATCTAATGATCTGTGAGGGCATTCTCACATAGCTGAGTTGTTATTGGGTCTATTGCAGCTTTTCCACCTGTTTACCAAGACTTTGGGTCGTGGACAACAAAACTAAATAGACGTTTTACCTTTTAATCACAGGGTGAGCTAATATCATAAGACTTTAATGGTGGTTCGCAGTCTTTAAATACATGCTGGACAGGCAAGTCATGTATCTGCTGCTGGGAGGCCCTAAATACCGGCATCTTTCACTCTTATTAAAGGTGACAATTAACTCGAAAATAAAATATATATTTGCCCCTTAATTGTATAGCTATTTATGAATCAAGATTGTTTTTGTGTGAGTAGTGGAGATATTGGTCTCAGAGATGTCTTACTTCCATGGAATATAATGGAACTGGCTGATCCGCTCAAAGCGCCAGAATTACATTTGAAAAACTGTACAGTCATTGTCTATTTCCAGAAAAGATGACCCAGTAACTCAAGATTATCCACAGACCTACATAGTTCCTACATGACTCTGATAACAACAAGGTCTGTTGATATTAACTTTAACACTAGGCAGCTCACACCAAAACAATCTAGTCTGATAAAATAGCGATATAATACATATGAAATTTGGATTTTATGTTGAACTGTCTCTTTAATGCTAGAGAGGAGGGTGGGTTTGGATGCTCTAACATTGAAACCACTCACACTGTAGAAAGAAATCGATAACACGACAACTCATCAACTAAAAAAAGCCACAATGGGCTCTGGCTCCCACTCTTCATCACCTTATTATTATTAACAGTAGGTGGGAGAAGCGAGCTTGGCTGAGGATTTGTCACCAGATCCCAGAAACAGGAACTGTGGCTGACAGATCGGTTTCACCAGCAGCCATCGCCACCAGCTTCTTTCCTTCCCTTCCACCATCATTACCACCACACGGCTGCAACTAGGATTGTTACATCACACAATCAAAGAGCCTGTGACAAATCAGCTAAATTATGTGACAAAAGAGGCTTTAATGGTAGCCACAAGTAAACAGTTTTCCTTCCCTTCAACTCCTTTCTCCAGCACATAATATCACTATAGATCTAAGATATTATTGTGATGTCAAAGCCCAACACATCACAATTTATGTTCCTTAATTTGGTTCCAGGTCGAAATGTGTGGGAGATTTTCATTTACTTTATGTCTTTGCTTACAATAGAGTGGGAAAGCAATAACATTATTTCTTCACAATGAGATTTTATGGCGGTAATATTGGATTACTGCTAAACCCTGGTGGGGAGCAGAACAGGGCGCTGCAATCAGAGAATGTCACATCGAGGAACAATAACAAGACAGATTGAAAACACAAGAGGTCAGTTTAGGGTCGAGAGGACAGCTTGTGAGTCAGGTGAACCGGGTAGATAAGGGTCATGTTTGGTATAGTTTGAAATGTTTTGATACATGTGCCAAAACCTAAAAATGTTGCTTCCACATTAACCTTTGAAGCACTTTAAAAAGTCTCATCTCAACATCTAAAACAGTTATTGTAACAAAGACTGTTGTAGATGTTGAGATGATGAGTCGAGCTCATCATCAACTGACAGAAAATGTAAATTCCAAAACGTGTCCAGCTTCCTTTCTGATTTCCAAATGAAAAGCCTATAATGATCAAACTGAACATAGACAAACCAAACAATTGGAGTATGTCTTCATGGTCGAATTTTTCCACTATTTTCTAAAGTTTTACTGACTAACAATTAAGTTATTTATTCAAGGAATGTACTGAAATGTAACTAAAATAATGACAGTTGATACCTGGTTTAAGGATATACTACAATGTGGGTTTAAATAAGTACTGAATTCGCTACAGTAGTCAATCTTTAAGTCAAACAACAATTTATCAATCGACATACTTAAAATGTAATATTTTTTATTCATTTATATATAAATCTAAAATTCCAAACCTCAATTGTTTTTGCTTTTTCTCGGTTTTATCAAAATAAACATTAAATATCTTGGGTTTTTTGACTCTTTTGGACCACTGTGAAAACTCAACTCAACAAGTTTTCCTAGTTTGACATCATTATATTTTGTAAAAAGGATGACGTGCACATTAAAGTACACAGAAAGAAAAACATTGGTTGTAGCCCTTTCTTTTCAACTAAAAGCTCTGCTGCTAATGATGATGTTGGTATTTTCATGTTCCTCCTCTTGGGGTCCATCATTAATGATTTATTTTAACAGACAGACTGAGACAGGCATGATCAGGTCCAGCTCATAAATGCACCACAATAAGAGCCAATGGGTATTTAAATGAGTTGCTCCATGGACAATTCAGCAATGCTGCAGTGCCAGAAATACATTAAATTACATGATAAAAACGTTATGAATAAACATGAGGCAAAGGCAGTGTGCAATTTGAATATGTAAAGGGAGAAATTAAGTTGAAAGAAAGCTCAGAAAAATGAGTTATTGGTCCTCTCCCCTCTCCACAGGTAGCTCCTCGGGCTTGAATGCCCTGCAGGCCTGCAGCTATAGGTAAGAGGGTGATGGCTCAGATGTTGATCCCTACTTTCATCTCCCTTCCATGCGTTTGAAACACGAAATAACTCATATGCATTGAGCTTTAAAGCATGTTACAGTGACCCGCAGTCAGTGTGACCTGCTTGGTGACTTACCAGATTTCGGTGGATAACGGTACACCGAACTGGACGGAATGTCCAGTTCTTCCACGCCTATGTTTTGTCTGCTTGTTAAAGCTCCCATTTCCAGTCAAATAAAGACCACACGGATTAACTGGCATAACACTTCTTCGGGTACGCTTTGTTCGCGGCGTCTCTTTTATTCCCTATCGTTTAATCCAGTCCGTGCTGCCCTGCATGTATGTCCATTTCTATCGGGTCCAAGCCCCGCCGTGAATGTGACCGTCCTGGGGGATTAGTTATCCAGCTGCTTATCCTTCCCCGGTCACCAGCTCGTTTTTGAGGCAGAAAACAGCCGTAGTTGTCCCTTTAACAGCGGAGAGGCACTCTCATGGCGAGCCGCAATCAAAGCGATAATGCTCCGTGACTGGTTTTTACTCTACGGGCGAGTGTGTGGCTCAAAACAGCCGTGTGCTCGTCGACATCTCCCGGCCCGCTGTTTGTTGGTCACACATCATCCCCGGTGCCTCTCGTTGTTGGATCCTGTCAGAGAGGTCCGAGGCTTCCCATGACGTAAGGCAGGCACAAATCCGGGCCGTGGTTTTTGCGCAGTCCTCCTCTCTCCAGCAGCAGCAGATAGTGCCGACCCACTTTGTAACGTGACCTTCCTACGCCAAATGTGCGAGTAGTGCTGACTGCAGTGCAGAGAGGACGGGACTATGGTATACACACCGAGCAAAAACCACATTACCCTCTAAACATGGGTGGAAATTGGCAGTAGAAAACTCAATTTAGCGTACAAAACGTGAAAGGTTGTTGCTGTGATGTAAAGCTTTTTTTTTGTACCGCAACAAGTAGTGCCACAGGAACCAAACTCTAAGACAGCGACCCTGGATTCACAGCAACACTGTCCGGCCTTGATAAACTACAAAAAAAACACTATTAACTCATGACAACTAGCTTATATAAATGAAACTAAAGAGAACAAAGGCAGCAGTTTGTCCAATATTATCGTTTAAAGCTACTCCCTGTCGACAGAGGGCAGTGCTGCGGCAGAGGTGGCGGAAGTCGAGCAGCCAATCAGAAGAGGCCAACACGGGCGCAAGAATGAAAGAGGAAAAGGAAGCTTTATTGCCGCCATTTCAGGTGAAACCAGTGCGGCAGAGACGACAGCCAGTGTCATAATATCCCAAAAATCTGCAATAATTACACAAATTGGAGATTAACAGACAAGCATAACGGTTGTGTCTAACGGGTTGGACTGGGCTGCTGTGTTGACTGGAGACAGACACAATGAGCTACGGAAGGGCGCCGCCAGACGTTGAGGGGATGACCTCCCTGAAAGTGGACAACCTGACGTACCGTACTTCACCGGAGACTCTGCGCCGAGTTTTTGAGAAGTACGGCCGTGTGGGAGATGTTTACATCCCCCGGGACAGGTACACTAAGGAGAGCCGCGGGTTCGCCTTCGTGCGATTCCTTGACAAGCGCGACGCCGAGGACGCAATGGATGCTATGGACGGCGCGCTGCTGGACGGGCGGGAGCTCCGGGTGCAGATGGCCCGCTACGGGAGACCCCCGGACTCCATGTACAGCCGGAGAGGGGCTCCGCCGCGCAGATCCGGAGGGGGGTACGGCGGACGCAGGAGGTAAATACTGTTGTGGATAGGTTTAGCTGTGGCGTATTGTTGCTATAGGAGGGGGTCAAAATTGTGCAAAACATAACTAACCTTGTCATCTTCAGCTTGTTGTCCATGTCTGTTAGTGTTTCTCAAATTGAAGCAACCCTTTCAGTTTAACAGGACAGTTCATTTATCATTATGTAGTTACTATTCTTTGTTGTAGCTTTACTTACATATAGTTGCTGTGGATATAATATAGTAAGTCTGCATCTAACCATTGTTTTAATATCTAGTAATCTGCAAGTATTAGGAGTCATGGGACAATATTATACTGACTAAGATTCTGCCATTGACGAAATTATTCAGATTATCCTCAAAATAGACTTTAAAACCTAAAAATGGAATACAAATACTAAGCATTGCATTACAGATAGGAGCACCTGCATAACTAAAATACACTTTAAAACAGCAAAATTGTTTAAGACTTGGTGTGAGGATGATATTCACGATTATCCTGATTGGGAGTGTTATTTTTCTCTCACAATAAGTCTTGTCAGTTTCCATCTTATTTTGGTTTGTTCTTCTCTCTGTATTCCCAGTCGTTCAGCCAGCCCTCGACGTCGCAGACGCAGCCGCTCCAGGAGCAGGAGCCGATCCCGCTCCAGGAGCCGCCACCACTACAGCCGCTCCAGGTCTCACTCCGAGTCAAGGTCTAAGTCCAAGTCCAGGACCCCAAGACGAAGCAAGACAAAATCTCCCTCAAAGTCCCGGTCCTCTAGGTCAAGGAGTCGAACCCCGCCTTCAAACAGAGGGTCCAAATCGAGGTCCCGCTCCAAATCCAAGAGTAGGCCAAAATCCCCGGAGGACAACGGAGCAGAGATTTAATCCAGACTTGGACACAGCATGACGGTATTCAGGGGGAAGGGTGTAATATATTATTTGCTTCAAATAGTATTCCTAAGATGGCTATTTGTCATCAGTTGGGTTATTATTCTGCAGTCTTGGTGCTACATGTCATGCATTTGCACAAAAGCAACAAAGTCGGCAGAATCATTTTTTCGAAATGGTAAAAATAAGATTGGGACTGATGTTGTCTACAGTCCTAGTTCTGTGTGTGCTGTACTTTGCATTGCCAATCTATGCACCCACAGACAACAGGAGATTTGGGATGATTGGACCTACTGTAACCTATATTTCAAAATGGGCTGTATGGGAGGGACGTGGGGTGCTTCACTCAAAAACGTTCACCTAAATGTGGAATTCTTTCCTCCAAGCTGCGGAGTCCTGTTTGCAAAGAGAGGAGGAGGAGATGGGGGTGTGGCAGTGTGAGAGCAGTTAGTGTGTGACCCGCCCTTGTGACCTGCCTGATTGCTGAGAGCTATGGCAGTTGCTAAGGAGCAGGTCACCGAGGCAACGGTGGTTGCTATGGAGCAGGTCGTCATGGCAGTGGTTCGGGCTGTCAGTTGGTGTGTGAGGTGGTGTGGTGAGGTACGTTGGCGGGGATCACAGGCAGATGCACTGAGCAGTCAGTGCCCACCTGTTCCTGTGGGCTCCTCCGCCTCACAAAGGGAACGGACCCCAGAGGTTTGTTTTTCCAATTCGCCCGGGTGTAAGACTTGTTAGAGGTGTATTTGTATTTATTTATAGAAGGACCATGCATACAAAAACATTAATCTCAGCAAAGAGAAGAGATGCAATATGCCAGATTATAGCTAATAGCTCATTTCCATCTGTGGTCCTCAGGCAGGTTCATAACAATCAATAAACAAATAATAACATTGCATGATCTTTATCAGTCAAACAATTTTAAAACCTGATTTAAGTACAGCTCAATAAATTAATACATAGTACACTTGAAATACACTTACATGATCTCGGTCACTCAAATGATTATAAAGCCTGATTTAAATACAGGTTACGAACATAATACTTAGTACACTTCAAATACACATATCTAGGATATAGTATGGCAATACAGTTCAAATAAAAAAAATCTCAGATTACAGTGTAATTAATGTTGGCATGACTGGTTGCTTAATATCATTTTTTTTGCACCATAAGAAAACGAGTTAAAATCAGTACAGGTTTTAAGTTCAACTGGAAGAGTGTTCCAGTGCTTGATGGAGAGAGCAGAGCTAGTACTATTGTAAAGGGGGGCCGGGTAAGGTGTGTAAACAAATGCGAAAGTTACTAGAAATGTTAGGTATAATACATGAAGATGCTCAGGGGGGAAATGCACTATGATTAATGTTATTGTGAGTAGATCAGACAAGCACTGTGATTAAATGTCTAGGTCAGCTTCAGGAGTTTTTAGAAATAAAAAAGCCTATTTTTGGCCTTTCCTAACTCTGTTTTGTCTTTCTTTGCAGATCTCAGATGATTGAGCCTTTGCTGAGGACATCAGGAAGAGTCTCACATTGAGCAAGTGGACTCCACTATTACCACTGAAAGCAGACTGAAAGGTTATTGGAGCTTGGTCTAAAATGTTTAGATTTGACTTTATTTACAAAAACAATTTTGTAACATTGATGTGATCATTGTTTGCGAAGTTGAGCAATTTGAAAGGGATTTAAAATAAGTTCTTCTCTTGCTGATTTAAATTGGGTTTATTGCATTTTGATTACCCTTGCACTTTTTTATGAACTTACATTTCCTTTAATTTAACTCCTTGTTTAATACTCTTTCTAAATTAATATGAACTTTTTATTTGCAGGGTGTAATGTTGAATGTTCAGAGCTTTTACATCTGTTTTACCACTCTTATGGAGAAAAAAATGTTTCCTGTACAGTGAAAAAGGCAAAACATCAAAGGCACTTAATATTTTAATTTGCTTATCCCGCAGACCACATGTTTTTATTTTCTGTCAAATCTCTATTTTCTGTCTGGTTAAAGTTGCTTTCCTATGACTCTAACCCTCTTTCTTGTGTATCTTTTGTGCACTAGGCGCAGTTGTGTAGCAGTTGAGTAATGCTGGTTAGCTGTTAAGATGCGGTGCAGTGCGGTGGTGACATGGTGTGGCGTGTTGCGGTGCTGAGTGCCCGGCGCTGTTCCGGGGCTCGACCCTCCGCTGCTGTTTGCCGGTTTGTAAGCTCACAAGTGTGGCAGATCATCGATCTCTCCTGTCTTGTGATCTCCCCCCCTCCCCCTCCCCCCCTCCCCATGTGCTGTACAGATTCTCTCCTTTCTTTTCTCTCTATTCCCCCTCTGTGGTTTATCCACTGTTAATAACTGGTTTTGCTTGCTTTTTTTTATTGAATCCAGTTTGACTCCTAGTGAAGGGTTTAATGGGCAGTCCAGGCTGCTTAAAGAAATTATGTGTGTATTTCATTCCTCTGTGAACCTCAAACGTCTTGTAATTGCTTTTAGGTGAATGCCAATAAACATCTGTCGTTCCAAATCAAGTTTCAAGTATTTATTTGTCATACGCACAACTATCAGAATGGTTTGCATTGGCAATGAAATTATTGTTCTCTTTTAAACTTTGCATTAATGTGACTTTTCCAATTGTGCTACTGTCACACTATATAATAACATTTATCATTGTCTCATAGTTCTAATACGGCCACAGTGGCTACTGTTTGGGAAAAAGTGTTCTAAGCTTTTGTAGTTTTAATCACACATTTTTCATAGGAGTAGATTACATTTTATAAATTATTTAAGAAGAAAGTATATAGATTTAATAATTAACTAATTATTCCAAGCACATTTTTTGGATGTAAAGATTTAATCTGAACTCGATTGTTGAAGCCGTGTATTTCAACAGCACCAGGATAAGTTAATGTGGGATAAGTTTACTGTTATTTAATGAGTTCAATAAAAGGAACATGTACAATAAATTGTTTTAAAATACAAATCGCAATATGCAATATTATATTTGGTTTAACCATTATGACTGTAGATTACTCTGGGGGTAATGTAGTTTGAAGGTGTCGATTAATCCCTGGTGCAGACTGTAAACCGAGCCTGACTCCATCAGCCTGGTGCTGTCACAAACCATCACCATCTCCCGGTGTGCGGTACTCTCACCTCTGAGGCGATTACCGGCAGAATAAGAGCCGGGCACGTTGCACCTGTACGTGGTGGGTGGGGGCGGAGCGGGGTAATAAAGCTGGGGCACTCTGCTGACATGGGGGCGGGGCCGGAGGATGTGACGTCCTGCTCCGAGAGGAGATTGTAGCATATCCCGTAAACGCTGCTCGTTAACGTTGATGTCTGGGGAGGATTAATACAAGCAGCGGGATGGCCGACTGTAACTGAATGCGGCCGACTCAGGTGAACAGAAAGCGGGGTAGACGGTCACAACACAGGCCTGTTAACACCACCATCCACCAGGCTCCACAGAAATGGATCTAACTTTTGTAATATCCGCTGTTATCTTCACGCTGCTCGCTATTGTGGTCGCTACGTCTTTATTTAGCGGCTCATCGCCTAGCGCCGACTTTGCAAGTTATTTCGGACACAGTGCAGCCAAAGGATTAGATGAAGCAGGGCCGCAGCAGAACGGCCATCTGCCGGACAAGAAGAAGAAGAAGGCGGCGGCGGACGACTGGTGTGAGATCAGCGCCAGCTCGCATGATCACTGGGATGTAGTGAAGTCTGTGCATTCAGTAAGTCATCTGTAGTCCAATACCGTTATGAAAGAGCTGTGATTGTTTGTTTTCTATTGCATAATCTGTTTTACTGACTTCCCCTCCCACTCAGGTACAGTGTGCATGTCCAGTCAGAGGTGGAAGAAGCACCCAAAGCTTTCATTTAAGTAAAAGCAGCAATGCTACCATAGGAAAACACTCCTTAGCTGCATTATAAATTGAATTCACTAAAGTGTAACGTAATAATCCATCACCTATAAAAGTAAAAGGCAAGATAGGAGACATGAAATACGTCTAGTTTAAAGGAAACATACTAAAATATGTTGCATTTAGTGGAGTAAAATGTACACTCTGGAGGAAGTATGGAAATACACAAGTGATGTATATGTAGCTGTTCCTTTGAAATTTTACTTCAGGTGGGGTAGGCATTAGAAAAAATTAATAGAGGTACGTTTGCTTTATTATTGGATTATTATTACTGATTCATTAATATGTTAGCAACATCTTAACATTGTAGCAAGTCTATGAGGCTAATTTCTTATATAGACTGGTGGGTAGTTTAGTATGTAACTTTTCTTTACATTTTATTAGCCGATGATATTTTTCTGAAATTCTACCGCAAAAATAAAGTTAGTTAACTAAATAAAGAAGACATTTGAAGAGCTCACATTTCATTAAGAGAAACTGGGTAATTTAATTATAATTTAGACCAAATATTGTTTTATCAATCGGGGAAATAATCAACTTATTATTCAATAATAGAAAAAATGGGCTTGTAAACTGAAGCATAAAAATGTTAATTAAAATATAATGGAAAACTCAAGTAAATATTCAAAATTGTACCAAAGCACAGTACTTTAAAAGTAGTTGATTTCCAACTATTGGGATATTTCTAGTAGAAAACATCCCACAAAATAAACATGGGATGTTGAGGGCAACACGGACTGACCATGACAGTATTTGTGTGTCTTTTAGCATACATTGGTATCAATAATAAGAAAAGGGCAACACAACTTTAGTCTTCTTTTGATATATGTTGGTTTCACTAATAGAAATGTGGCAATAGAGCCTCCTCCACACATATCAGCCATTTTCAAGACCCTCACTGGCCTGTTTTTTTAAACTGGATGTCTGCCTGTAAAGAGGTCAAATCAGCACCCAAGGGAGAAAGGTATGAAAAGCTAACCTGACACCTGCGCCAAGTGTAGGCCAGATCAACATCCAGGAGAGGTGAGAAATACAGGTAACACAAGGAGGTATTTGTTTGGAGTTCAATATCTGTACACCAGTTTCTAATCCGGGGCTGCCTAAGAAAACATGAATTGCTCAAGTTTAAGGGAGAAAAAAATGCCCCTCTTTTTACCCCTTAATTCTTTGACAGGAGGAGGCACATCCTCACCCTCTCACAAAAGAAGTGGCAACACCAGTTAAGCACCACTCCAAAACCAGCCTGTCCGTGCCCAGTTCTGGGTGTAGACACCAGAGCTTAGAGGTAGACTGGTCGTCCGAGGCCTCGTCGTGTCGTAGGTCATACATTGGGCTCTCTGAAAAGCAACTCCTAAAGTGTGCTTTCTCAATCCCTCAGACTGAAGGAGCCACAGAGAGCCCGGGGATAGATGGTGAGATACATTTTCAAATATATGCAACTATTTATTTCAAAATAAATGTTTGGTGTAAGATTTCTTATCAAGTATGATCTGTTTCATCAGATAAAGAGGAGATAAACGATTCCCTGAAGTACGTCCCTGGAAAGGCGCGATCCCATCACTTGGAGAGGATGATGTCGTCAGAGGAGCTGGAGGAGGAGCAGAGGTCAGTGAAAAGGAACAATATGAGTACCGGTTTTCCGGTAATGGTTCTCTTTATATGAGTTTAAGAACAATTAATTGGGGAGCATCCCTGATGAATTAAAGCAGGATTTCCCACAACCTGGCAACCCAAAAGTTCTTCTTACTTATGGCTTGTAACAGATCTAATGCCCTGCCTCGCTATGTTTACATTTTTTACGAATTGCCCCTGTTAAAACCCTCTTATAAATTTCATGAAAATGGGTTCACTAGTTTTTCCCTAATCCTACAATCAGACAGAAAACATATCCTACTTGGCCTCGTTATAACACAGTAAAATACCAAAACAAATCCAGCTTTTTTTGGTGGGTAGTATTCAAAACCTAAACCTATTGGCGCAGTTAGCAATGTATTAACCAGGAATAAACATTAATTGCAGTTTAAGGAAACAGAGCCATATAAATTGCCCACCCTGTTCAGTGTTGACTCCTTTTCTTTCTCCCTCTAATCTCCCCTACGCTGTCTGTGTGTTGTTGGTGTTCGCTCCCTGTTTAGCTGCTGTGTCAGTTTTCCTGTTCAGGCTAGACTGAGTAAGGCGAGATTGAGTCTCTGCCAGGCATTAGCTGAAGGATGAATGACACAAGACTGTGAAGAAAGCACAACAAAACAAGGACACATAGGATACAAGATGTTGCTCTTATCATTACAGGATACACTCCACCACAGTCTGTAACTGTCTGTAGGCCTGAAAAAGGAGCAGTTATGTGGTAAAGTATTATTATTTTCACCCGTTTATCTCAGAGGAGTCACTTTCTGGCCATTATTTGAAAACTACTCCAAAACCATTTTGTATTTCTTAACCTCAGAAGTGATTTTGGCCTCATCAGCTCTTTACTTCAGATGGCCATGAAGCGACCGATACACACCCCTACCCCCACAGCCCCGTTGTGCCACATTAGACGTGTGATTCTCAGCTGTGACAGCAGGTGTTGATTGTGTCTCCAGTCGTCAACTCACAGAGAAGTGTTAGTTAATCCTCTCAGGACTCTCCTCTGTTCCGCCACAAGGAGGACTCGGTGTAGCGCAGCACTGGGACTCGGGCTGACACGGAAACCGCCTCTAAAGTGATTGTGTCACACTGAAATAGTGAGGGTGAGGGGGACATTTGAGGGATAGGCTTTGATAAAGTTGGTTTATTAAATGTTAAAGACCACAAAATATCTCACAAAAAGAGAAAAAAAGCTTTTTTCTAGATTTAGCTAACACCTAGTTTCCACCTGTTATCCCATTACATGTACTTTCTACATCTAACTTTATTACAAGAGTTCAATGTAAAGGCTCCCATTTAATGCAATGTGCTTCATCATGTTGAGTAAGTGACAATAAATGAGATAACTTCTGATAAAGAAAAGATAAAAGGACATTTCATTTTACGCTTATTTGAGTCATACAGTATATTTCGAAAATGTGACGTCAAGATAACAGACAGCTGGGGGAATTCAGTTGTAGCAGCAGTACTGTAAATTGAATTTAAAATATAAACTATACAAGAGCATATAAAATAAGTTGCATTTGTTTGATATGAGTGATCACCTATAATATGATTTGCGTTTAGCTGTATAAATATGTAAATTCATAGAAACATAACTTAGCATATCATGTAATAAAACAGTAACACCATTATAACTATTCTTTTGTATAGAACAAGATATACATATTGCATGTTGTAATATTATAAATACTTTGCATATTCAGCTTGACGATTGGTCAAATGTAATGACTACAATCCACAGGTGTAGGTTGACAATGTTTACTGTGTTAGATCTTGTAGCAGGCCACCTGCCAGCGGGGGGGCGCACTGGTGCCAAAAGGACATCTGATTGTCTGAAGAAAATGACCCTAGCTCTCAATTTAATGTCTAAACTCAAGGTTTCAAAACTTTAACAAACATTGGATGAGGTCACGATGGCTTCCTCTACTTGGCAAACAGCAGATAGCAGGGTTTCTGATGCAACTTCTACCAGTATTCACCCTTTGGCATGTCTGTTCCCGTTGTGTTTCCCTTGTCTTTCCGTAGTATTGTGACACTAAAGAGGATGATTCATGCAACCAACTGTTTTGATTCATTTCATAAAAAATGTTTTGGTCTGTAAAACTTCCATCAGTTAACAAATACGCTGCGTTGCTCTGCAATATAATCCTTTAAATTCTCTACTGTGTTATGTATTTATTTGGTTTTTCCTTGTATATGTGTCTTTATAGTTTATCTCTTGACATTTAACATATTTTTCGTCTTTACATTTAGAAAAGTACAGTTTTTATTAGCATCTGAGTGCTGCAGGGAAGAAATATTTGTATATGTCACCCCAAAAGTTTGCAAGTTTGATTGCCCTTCCCTCCGAAAAATTCCAAGGTTATTTTCCATTGGATTTTGTATTATTTCAGAAAATAAAAAGTGAATGATACATATTTTATTTAAAAAGGTAATCTTCACAAATTATTTTTTAATGCAATAGCAATGAGTTTGGGGACTGGTGTGCGGCCAGATGACGTTTAATGTCCCCAACGACTCATTTACATACATATTTTTTAAGACAAGAAATAGCACTAAAAACAACATGAGTATGGTATTTGCTTACATGTTTTATGGCATGGAAAAAAGCATGGGTAAACCAGACATTGTTTCAGGCTTCTAACCCACTATAGAAATGACGAATTCCTGCAGCTTACTACTTACTAGAAGAGCGTATTTACTTTTATCAATATTGACACTTGGCAGAACTGGTTTCAGTGTTCTTTCACTGCTTTCTTAATGTACATTTACAGAATGGGTTTTGTTTGTCATTATGAATTTCCCCTGATAAAAGTTCTACAGTTTGTAGACTTTTTTCTTGGTTCTTTCCCAACTATATATTATTCTCTGATACACTTCAGGGTACAACGAGAGCAGCTGGCCGCCATCTTCAAGCTGCTGAAAGACAACCAGGAGACGTTTGGGGAGGTTTCAGATGTGGACATGGAGGAGCAGATCAGACTCTACTCCATCTGAGACTTCTTAACGTTTTGGGATCCACCATATGATTGCCTCTTTACTTTCAGGATTACTGCAGTGCACCAAATACTTTAATAAACATGTTCACAGTATTCAACACAAGCTGTACAATCCACAGAACAACCTCTCTCTTTGTGTTTTAATATGACATACTTTGTGTTCTTTGAATACTGTCCCACCACCTGTCATCCACACGCCCCATGATAGAAATGCTAAATATAATTAGCTGGATAAATCAAATCCTATTGTTTGTATTAGTTTTATATTATGATTTTTTTTTTTAAATAGGTTCATTTTTTACATAACCTTTTTATCCTTAAATATGTAACCAATCCTGTTAAGTTAGTAGTGCATAACTTCCCCTCTGTTGTGTAACAAACGAGATCATATCCAACTGTGAAGAAGTGGGTGTGTGAGCCCGTGTGAGTGTGTGCTGCAAGAGAGAGGGAGAGAGCTGTATTCCTGTGTGTCTCTCGCAGTGAACTTTGACGTAGCCCCTCCCAATATAGTTGGTGACAGGTATCTCAGTGGTTAGTGTTTAATTGAGCCTTAAGGCCTCCAGTTCTCAGTGTCAGGGATGGCAGACAAACACCTTAAGGTTTTTTATGTGCTGCTTCTGCTCTCAGTTTGCAGTGTACTAGTGTATTTTCCATGGGAATATTCATTGAGCAGAATCAGGTAAGTTATTTTGAGATTATTAAGAAGGAACTTATCTAGACTGGTTAATTTTTTTCCTGATCCTGTTTATTCATATACATGTCTATCATCTGATTTCCAGGTACAACAATTTAATTAAAGTTACTACAAAAATGTATCCTGATAATGCTTGTATTTTGCGTCAATGGCTCCTTTTGTTAAATTTCTACATCAGATGGCCATCTTTGTCAGGAAAAGTAAGACACAGAGCTCACAAGTTGTTTTTCGACTTGGGAATGGAAAAAGGAAACTCCACTTCAGCTGATGTGTTAGCACAGAAAACAAAACTTCCTGATTACATACAAACAAATGATCAAAATGGACCTATACGAGGCGTTGTGGCTGAGACTCCCATGCCCGTCCTCATCAGAAGCTCCTTCAAGAAGCTTCCTGAGTGGGATTTTGAGGATATTTATAACCAGGATGCTCCACCCAGACAGACAGTAAGCATGTCAGGACAAGACACAAACATTATAAAATCATCAAATTTGTGGGAGAGGGTAATCTGCGCGTCCGGGTGTTCAGCTGTGTCTGTGTGATCCGGATTTCTGTTGGCTTTTCTCTTGAAGGGACTACTGCAGTTTCTTACATTTTATTTATAATATTTCTACCTGCTTGGCTTCTTGCCTGCTGTTTCTTCAGCTGTAAGGGGGCATTTAGAGGGACAATACATTGTTGTGACAATCAAAGTGAGTATATTATGCTTTATTCTCAGACGTGTGCCAATTCTCTGCGAAACTCTGAGGATGAGAGCTTTAAGAAGAATTTCCTTCCCAACATACGGTTGTATATGCACAAAGACAACGTCAACATGAGCGAGTGGAACCGGCTGTCGCATTTTAACAATCCCTTTGGTTTTATGGGGTTTAAGCATGATGGTAGGTGTTTTTCTATCTGCCCTTAGGAGACTCAGTGTCAATGTTTTTCAGTTACTAAGGTGGAATGTTGCTAGGCAAGGGACTGGTGGATACTTACTATTTCTCCTGGGTATAAGGAAACTTCTGTGCTAAGGGTGATAAAGTTATATAATAATAATAATAGGAATCTTCTGATGTGAACAGTGAAGTAAATAAGGCAAATACCTGCTGTCTCCTCTTAATTAAATGCTATTAAGAAGTCCCAAAAGTGAGAATTGAGTAAAATAATTGAAAAATAATAATGTTGCTAGGCTGACCTCACTTTATTAACTGTGACACCGCAGTATATAAGTACAATATATTTTCCACCCTGGTATAAAGCACATCCAGTGATAAGGAGCAATATAACTATCATAAAATAGATGGTTCCCAACCTTGATTGTGATCAACTGACCCATGAACACGTTGTAAAATAATGAAAATTCCGGTCACCCATGGGATCCTAATAGCTGGCAGATTGCAACTTTTAACACTCAGTCACAATAAATGGGTTAGGGTTGGGAAAAGCAATTAGAGGTACAAGTATCCAGAATGGTGTCCCATGTAACTATTCAACTATTTCATACTATATCATTAGATTATTATTACCAATTCATTAAAAAGCAGGAGTTTGCAGTTTCAGTTGGTTGAGGGGAAGCTCATTTTGAACTATTTGACTGATGATTAATTTTATTAAGCAGATTATGTATAATTAAAAGGGAAAAGCACCAAATACTCATATTTTAGAAGCTGGAACCATCACTATTATCAAAATAGTTGCCAGTTCATTCTGTCAATTAACTTACAATTAATGTGCATGTTTTTACAGCTGTATCCATATGTTTTGTGTACACAAATCTGAATCTGCAAAGTAACTAGTGACAAAAGACGTTAAATAAGTATAGTGGAGTAAAAAAGTTCAAGATTTCCCTCTTAAGAGAAATGCAGTAGAAGTAGAACGTGGTACAGTACATTCCACCACTGATCTGATCTCACATTATTTATTTCATGTGTTTTTTGTAGATGTAATGACTTCAGTGAAGTTAATCCCAAAGCCCAAGGAGCCACTTCTCCTTCCAAAGCCAGGCGGTGATGGGTGTGTGACCTGTGCTGTGGTGGGTGCTGCGGGAATACTCAATGGATCAAAAAAGGGAAAAGAGATCGATGCTCACGATTACGTTTTCCGGTAAGGAAGAAAACATGTGGATGTTGTTGTCAGGCCCAAAATGGTGGCAAATGACGTGTTAGAAAAACTTGGCAGTTCATTCATCCCTGTGTCAACAACAATGTTCTTTCTTTAAACGTTCCCTTTTTACCAGACATCAGGATCACCATTTTTTAACAATATGATACTGTGTTTGTCAAGGCAATATTTAGACGGGCGGGGATCACAGGAATATTTGTAGACCGTCTAAACTGTCATGAAGCCAAATATTTTTTAGTTATCTTTAAAAAAAAAAAAAACGTTAGTTATTTACAACACTGGAAAGCAAAGCGAATGTCATACTATTATTGGCTTTAATCTTCAGACAGAAACTCTCAAGAGGCAAAAACGATATCAGTCACGAATGTGGATGGATGGCAGTGTTGAGTTTGTTCGGCGTGTGTCAACAGTCTTGGTGAACAATTTCTTGATGATTATGTTGACTGTTACATATTGACTTACCTGGGCGGGCTCTCTTTGAAAGTTGCCCAAGGCATATATACATGATGCATTTCAGCTGTTTTTGTCCTGCTTCACTACACAATTAAAGGTAATTCCAGTGCAAAGGCCTCTGGGTTTGTCTTTATTATACTGCTTAATCTTTTTTATTTGACCACAGACAGAAAGGGTAGAAAGTCCTTGTAAAATAACATGACAAACATACTCCATTGTAGTGCTTCCATTTGCATGACAATTATGCAAGGTGTGCCAGTACGCTGCATGGTGCTCTCTGTTGTGCTGACTTTCAAGAGCAGAGTCAGGTTCCACCCTAGGTGTGACTGACAATTCTAAGCAAACATAACCAACTAACCGTATCATTTGATAATTGAACAGCAGTGTTTTTCCGCGAAAAAGTTGGTTCTGTCTCTGTATTGAGCATTATATATTCCCTTTAAGTTTCCCTTAACTTTTACTTCAACCCAAAAAAGGGTAAAGCGTAATAACTTAACCTCAAATTGTCTGTTTGTACTGTAAATACATTGTTGATGCATGTAGACACAGCCAGACTGTAAATGTTTAAACAGTTCAGCTGCAAAACACATGAACTGCAAAGCAACATAGATTCCAGTTACAAAGAGACCTTTGAGAGAAGTTTCTGCATGTGATTAAAGGCTGTAAGGACACGTTATACACCTACGATCAAGTCGGATTGTTGCACCACTGGTTTGTAAGCGTAGGAGGTTATTAAATCCTTTTACCTGTGGAGTTTCCCATAAGGCCCAGACACACCAAACTTTAAAGAACTAGTGCCAACAGAGCTGACTGATAAACTCACATTGCTTGCTTCTTGGTCAAAAAGTTGCCAAATCCTACAGCCAAGCAGCAAGTAGATTCTGCGCCTGCGTGAGGAAATAAATTCAACTGAAAACCGTTTTTTCATGCTTGTGCCATGACCCCAACTGATTGTAAATTTGAGGCTTTTAGATATTCTTTTAGATGCCTTTTATTTTGTGTGCTTGACGATACAGAAGATGTTTATCTGTTCAGTTACATACAGGAATACACTTTCCAACCCGTCACCGCTCTTATGTTGACATCCATTGTTATATGAGATCATCGATTTAACCATCTGCCAGTGCCAAATAAATGTGACTTATCTAGTCTAACAGGCAGTACAGGTAGGTGACTGTGAGCTAAATTAACCCCTTCCATAGGCCTTCGACACACTATTACCTCAGCTGTGTTAGGGTGGTGGCACAACCCTTGGATTACTGTGCAGTTATCACAATATTGTTTGTGCATTTACACCAATGTATTTACAGAGATGTATGTCACTTTCAATCTTTTATTCTGCCTTTTGCATGCAATTAACTGACTGGTACTGACAATCGTGTTTTACCACGATGAACTCTTTTTGCGTATAATAAAAGTTAGCTTTTAAGCTAATAAAAGTCATTTTATCAGGACCCCTTTCACATGTGTATCTGTTTGTGCGACAGGATGAACGGCGCGATCACCAAAGGCTACGAGGAAGACGTGGGAGGCAGAACGTCAGTGTACGTTCACACAGCCCACTCCATCACTAGTTCACCATATATGTTAAGGGCTTATGGATACAAAAATGTCCCTAATGATGAGGTACGAATGTCATGTTTAACATTGTAATGTGTAACTCACACTCCACACATACAACATTTTCATTCCTACTCATCACTCATCCTCTTTTTGGCAGGGCATAAAATATGTGATGATTCCTGAAGGAATGAGGGATTTCAATTGGCTCGAGGGACTTCTCAAAGGAGAAAGGATCGGTGAAGGCCCATATAAAAACAGGAGGTAAACACCAACTTTGTATAAAATAATAAAAGTAAAAGGTAACACAAAAACACAAATGCAGTAATTCCAGGGCTGGGCTATCTTGGATTGGGGCTGAAAATGTGTCACCAGAGGCCTGTACTACGAAGCCGGATTTTCGCTTAGCGGGCTAACTTCAGGGAAAACTCGGGGTTTCCGGTCCTACGACGCTGGTTCTCTTTTTAGCGGGCTAGATCTCCATGGTAACTTATGCTGAGCGGCTAACCTGCTCCGGAGCAGGTTAGGTTGCAGGCTAAGAGATCAACTCAGTGAAAGCACTGCCTGCTGACCAATCAGAGCTCAGTGTGCGGAGTTTAAAGCGATCAATTCATATAGAGTGGCGAAGTCACGCCCACTTACTTCCGGGTAATGGGACCTTATTTCGGAAAAATTATGCATTGAAGTCAATGGGGAGAGAAAACTTATCTTTCGATCCCGTTTGAATTGTGCCATGAATTACACATATGATGTTTGTCTATCTTAAAAAATAATTTCCATGTAAAAAAAGTCACAGTTTGTCGTAAAACTGTTGAAATATAAGACTATGAAAAATACGTAACTAGAAAGACTACAAATCCCAGAGTCGCTTAAGTGATGTCACAATTGTTTTCCTCGACTAAAATAGAGATAGCTAAGATAAGATAACGCCATATAGATAGAATCTATCTATATGGCGCTGGCTAAGATAAGATAACTTTAACAAGATGCCTGTGGGCTTAGTACCAGGTTGTTATCATACCAGCAATGGGTCTTGCTCGTTCTTTTGCTTCCCGTCTGATGAAAGGACCAGGAGTGGCTTGATCAAGTTAGCTACCTAGCTAGTAGCTAGCACGTTAGTTAGCATTACAGCCTTGTCATTTTTATTAGCCTTAACATGAAGTAACATTAAGTAACCCAAAATGTTAAACAGCAAGAGTAGTAGTCATATTTCGTGAACCCTTTGAAGAGTACTGTCACCGGTGTGGTCATTCTATAATACACGATTTAAGCCCGGGGGAGAAATGCTAACGCTAGCGATCTTTTCTACTTCATGCTATCTGCACAAATGGTTGACATTAAACATTAAAACGACCAGGCAGTTCAGAGAGAATCAAAGGAAGGCAGGCAGGCAGCTTTGCATGACATTCTTCAGGACGTGTTTCATTGTGGTGATAGTGAGGGTAGTCAATCGTTGTGTTGACAAGACAGTAGTGACAGCCATCTTGGTGACGTGTGTTGTTGACCAGAGATGTAGTTCATTGAGCGTTTCACACAAACAAATGTGTTACTTCACAGTTTTACGACACATTTTTTTTTTTTTTACTTGCAAAATTATCTTTTAAATTGACAAACAACATATGTGTAATTCGTGGCACAATTCAAACGGGATCGAAAGATAATCTTTCTCTCTCCATTGACTTCAATACATAATTTTTCCGAAATAAGGTCCCATGGAGGTCCACCGGAAGGGGAGGGACTTCGCCACTCTATTACAGGAGAAAGGAAATACAGAAAGACGGCCGGCAAAAATCAACTGACTGTGTGAACGTGAAAATGAATAGAATATCCCCTCCCATCTTCAGAGCAATCTGACTATTATGACATTAGCGTTAAGAAAGCTTACTTAAATATCTGCCACAACATAAGTAACCGGATCAAAGTAACATTAAGTACAGTCCGCGGCACTGTGAGTGCAGACGTCGATGTGTCCCATTATCATTCATATCACATCATATCACATCATAATGTATCATAGGCTATATTTCCTTATCCGAGTCAGCTTCTTGAGCCGTATCTGGCCGTGCAACACTCACAGTGTCACATACTGTATGCAGAAGTATTATTTTAAGCAACACATTAAGTTGACGAAACACTCGAGTCAAATGTAATTAAAGTCAGATCCACTCGTGTCTTGGACGGGGCAGTGATATCATAAACCTGTTAATGTACGCATTCAAACACTTTTTCTTTTACCAGCTGTATTCACCTTGCAGGTGCAGCTATGTGGCTTTTATCCTGGATAAAGTGTTTAAGTCATGGATGTTTAAAGTTTAACTTCTTCATATTTGACTAATATTAAAGTTCACTTTTCATTCAGGAAGTATGACGCTGCGCTGTCAGTACGCTTGTCCGTGTTTGTGATTGGTCGAATGCTCCAAATACCACCCCTTTCATGTGAACGCGCACCTAACTAGATAGGGCACGGCTGGCTTGAGCGATCCACTTGATAACCAGCGTCGTAGGACCGCTTAGCGAGAGCGTGTATGTTTTGGATTAGGCCAACCGGCTAACTCAAACATATCCAGGTTATGTTGAACCGGCTTCGTAGTACAGGCCTCTGGTCACCCTGTTCAAGGAAACCTTTTAATTTCCGATGATTCCTTATCAAAATAATCCAAATGTTTAATTTTTTGGATTATGAAAAGCACCTATAAACTTACACAAAGGTGGCGCCTTATTCAACCAAAACATGGAACAACTTATAAATAGCCCAACAGTGTTACTAGGAATTATAAAAGACAGCATCCTTACCCATAATACTTCGGTGATTCTTCCTCATTTCCTTCTCATTTCAAGGCACCCAGAATACATAAATCATGCAATTAGAAAGTAAAATACAAGCACTAAAATCGAATGAAAAATTTCGCTTATCTGACCAGACTCACTCATGACGTTTGAATTCAATATTTTGCTCAGGGCTTAACTTGAATTCATTATCCAAAGTACTTACGTAGGAGTTACATATTACAATCAGAGTGAGCGTTCACGTAGAATTAATAAATGATATACAATCTATGATCTCCATACAGCTGAACCGTCCACTGACCTGACTGCCCTTATATTGTATCCGTCAGAGCTCCAATAATCTCCTGACTCGTTATACTTCAGCAGTTTTTTCAGGAATGTTCCCAGCACAACTAAAAACCTGAACTCTGTGAAACTAGATGGTTGATATTTGTCATTGTGTCAAATGTGTAGCAGTGATAGAGCCAAAGCGATTAGCATTTAGCAAGAGATTTGTGTAGGCAAGCAACTAGCATTAGCTAATTGATATAGTAACGTTTAGTATTCACTAATATTCCTTTCCTGTTGGCAGCATGGATGCCGGTACTTGGGAGACGTTGGTTTTAGGGGCGGGGTGTCACTATGCAAATGTATTTATCAAAATCTTAAAATTGAAATAAACCAACAAAAAAGTCTTAAACATTGATCATTTCAGTTGCACTTAAATGATAAATCTAGAAACGTTATCAGAAATAGTGAAAATACAAATTATTATTTTTATACTTAAATGACACTTGTGTGCCTATTAAACATTATCTCAGAAGTAATTTGGCAGTTTTCCATCAGGAGCTGTTAGGTGTTATTTCTAGCTTATTTATTGAACTCATAAATTGACTTGGTATTAATTAAAAATATAAAGAAAGCATTATTCAGAATGGGTGTTCTTTAAACTTACTGATTGAATCAATGTTTCACAAATGTTGTCAAAAGTCTGTTTTTAGGAGACTGATGATGCTGACATGCATGTCTATTTTGCATTTGCAGGCCACGGACGTACTATGCAGGGCAGTACAACGAGACGCGCTTCTATGTTCTTCACCAGGATTTCCTCAGATACGTGCGAAACAGGTAAACCACAGCCCATAAACCTTTCCATCCTGAGTTACTTATTTTTAGCTTAGTTAGATTTGGTTTGCAAATAAAAGACAAGGTTACCATCTGACACACATTTTAAAACAACACAGACAACAGGCAAACCTTTTCAAATGTACCCTGTGCTCCATCAACTTTAAAAACATAAAACAAACATTAATACAACAGGAACAATCCAAGTAAATTAATAGATAGGCATTGCTTCCATAGCATCTACAATAAAAAGAGAAACAAAGAAGAAACAAACAAACTTTTAGTGATTATTTTTACCTGATATGATTCTTTACTTTATATGATTCTAAAAACAATGGCAATAACTTGAAAATGACAATGTGAAGCACAGCAGCAATAAGTCAAATGTTTTCTTACATTACAAGCCAAACATTTACCAACCAATAAAAATGGATAATCAACAGTCAACACTTTTTTAAAAGCCTGTGGAGGCTGTCATTTGTCTTATCTTTTGGATGAAATAAGTGTAATGGTTGTTTATCTGACACTGTTCATCGCCCACAGGTTCATAAAGTCTAGTGGTCTGCTTTCTCCACACTGGGCGATAGTCAGACCCACCAATGGGGCATTCACTCTCTTCCTAGCTCTGCACACCTGTGACACTGTAAGTTCATATTTCCTCAACTTGTACACTTGCCATCTATCCTTTAGGTATCCAAGCCTATATGAATATGAAGAATGGAGTAAAAAAAACTCTATACAGGTCAGCCCTGGACATTAAGTAGTTCTCTTGGTTCTCATATAAATCGCCAAACACTTGTATTGATAAGAGAAATGAAGAGAGGGAGCATTGCAGCCAGATGTATGCAATTTAGATTAGATTAGATTAGATTACTTTATTGTCATTACATAACGCAAGCAGAGTGTAACGAAATGTATGGTTGAAGCTTACAATCTTTAGCTAAAGCGTAGGATGACAAAATTATTGGAATGATGACACATTTTCTTTATGTGAGAGGGCGTCAAAAGTCATGTGCTGTATGTTAGATAAGAAGAACTCTTACATCTAAAATGAGCATGGTATATTGTTCGTTTAACCCCTATAAAAACTGGAGTTTTAAAAGTTTGAACTTTACTTTATAGGACTATTTTTGCAGTGATTTCTTTATTAGTCCCAAATAAAGACATGACCTTTGAATGGAGCCAAGCTTTTTTCCTCTGTTTGCAGTCTTAGCCATCTGATGTCTGTAGCTTGTAATTCTGGACTGACATGAAAACGTAATGGAAATTCCAGTTTTATTCACAGCAATAAATGTTAACAGATCCTGTTGTTATTCATAATCGTCCCTGTTCTCTGTTTGTCATTCTCAGGTGAGTGCATATGGATTCATGACTGAAGACTATAGTAAATACTCCAACTACTACTTTGAGAAGATCAAGAAACGTATTGTTTTCTACGCCAACCACGACTATCTCATGGAGAAAAATGTGTGGAAAAGCCTACACAACACGAAAATCCTGAAGCTATATCAAAGAACAAATTCAGAACAGGAGCCAGAAAAGGAAAATAAACTGATACTGTGAGAATGGCGTTAATGGCATCCATTATTTTATAGACATTTTATATTTGTATATTATATATGTGTTTACAGAAAGACCATGGAAGACAATGTGTTACAAGCTCTTTCAAAATCAGTCTCATTTCTCAAAGGCTCATTTCTAGATAAATGTCAACACCAGTGGCGGCCGGTCCATAGGGGCGCTAGGGGCGCCGCCCCACCTCTTCCCATATTGAAAAAAAAAAAAAAAAAAAAAAAAAATGTTTAAAAAAATATATATATTTTTATTTTTATTTTTAATGAACAAGGTAAATATTATATAATTGGTATCAGTAAAATGTATAATCTACAATAAAATCTCGTTTAAAATTGTGTTACGATGTCTAAAGTTACTGATAAGTCACATGTTTCCTGCCTGGCCTTGCCCATGCACCTTCTCTCGTCTGGGCGCTAAGAGAGGAGCCTTCAACCAGTGCAGCAGCAGCCACTAGCAGCTGACTGTTGCTATCTGTAACGTGTAAACTATGCCGCGAAAATATAATTTCAGCCAATCAGCGTCGTCAAAGATGACGGTCACCGGGCGCCAATGTCAGCGCCCAGTGCAGTCTGTGAGTAGTTTGGACAGTGACTCGTATCCGGTTGACGCAGTAGTTGATGAGGATGGCTTCGTGTGCAGGTGGAGTCTCCGGACCTCGGTCCCCGCCTAATTCTGTTCAAGAGCTAATCTCCAATCCTTTCGAAAGGAGAAGTTTGGCAGATAAATTGTTGCTTAAAGACCTTGGACCGGACCAACCCGATTTGAATATATCGCAGCAATCTCGTGAAAAAGACAAAACGTATACACGAGGCTTCGCAAGTAGCTGGTACACAAAAAAGGCTTGGCTAGCTGGATGCAAACAGGTAAATGCTGTCTTTTGTTTCCCATGCTTGGATATCACTTTATATGTAGAGAGGAGGTTTCCCATGGTTGTTAGAAGTTTATTAATAAGTGGGCATTTATCACAGAAGTGATTGTTCTGTCTCCACGTTTGTTGCATTGTCTGTGATGTATTTTCCAACGGTTATAGCTCCTGTTCTGTCCCAGCAACACTACACGGTTTGCAGCTCCACCACATTTTTGGTTTATCTTCGGTGTCGCTTAAAATCTGCTTCCCATCGGACTAAAACCTCCACGTAATCTGAAGACAGATACTTGAAGTTATTTAAACCTTTTGCAAACTTTATGTTCTTTCTTGCTCTAGCCTTGCCAGTTACATTGTACATAACACATATATTATCATTATGCTAAGTGGTTGTTCGTGTTAGACCAGGGGTTCCCAACCCCCGGTCCGCGGACCGGTACCGGGCCGCGGAGGTGTTACTGCCGGGCCGCGAAATAGCTGTGAGTTTATCGTAATATTTGCAGAATTATAAATATATAAAAATATTTTATCATAATCTTTTTTTCAAAAAGTATTTAATTTTCGCACCTATGCCACCAGTCATATTATTTCATCCAGTAGCTAGTTAATCTTTCACCAGAAAACCGTTGAAAATGGCTTTTATGATGTTCCGAGGGATTCGGCGGCTCAGCCTAAGGTCTCAGCCTCTTGTGCACACGAGCATGTTACCGGTGCGCCAAGTAGGAAGAGGAGCGCACAGGAGACAACCGTTTGATTGCAGACTGTTATGTTTATGTGGGGAAATGGTGGTGCATACATTATTTGAGATATATTTCAAACTCGGACTTCATTTTAAGGACATGTCGGCCAGGGGTGTAGAGCTATTTGTTTAAGCACCGGATTGGCAAAACAGGAGAGTAAACCAGTCTGCCTTGATCTATGAATTAATGTCCGGGACTCTCACGATCTGCTGCCCGCAGCTGTTTTATAGAAGGAAACCCTCCTTCATGAAATGGCTGCAGCATCAGGAGGCAGCGGGACGTATACTCGGTAAAGAGCTGTGCCTTTTTACGCACCGCCTTCGCTGTGTTTAACTTAATCAGAACAGTTTAAGAGTGACTGCAGGCTGCTACGTGTTAACCACACACACATCTACACACATCGAACTGCCCGATTACTCCCCCTTTTATTAGTTTTTTGAAGGAGATGTCCAGTCAGTCACCAAGGCGCATGATGTGTGTGTATGTGCTCTGCTCAGCTCAGCTCTGTGTGTTCGGTGTGTTTGTGTCTGTCCGACACCGGCATATATGCGGCTGTTCCCAAAATAAATTAGTTTAATCTTAATCTTGATGTAGTGCTAAATGCTGTCGGGAGTGCACCGGAACGAACGACATTTTCCCAGCATTCACTGGATTATCCGTAAATCATACAAACAAAACCAAAACGTTGATTTATCTGTTTTCCCGTTTTGGTTTAAAAACTGAATAACGTCGGTTTTTTGGTTTTCCGAAAAACCAAAAAACAACACCGGTTCTTTTTTAAACTTTGTTAATATGTTTTGGATGCATATTGTTCTAGTATTTGTTCAGGCTGTTACATACAATTAGCCTCTGTTGCTACCTGCTGGTGGTGAGTAAATATTAAAATCAGTTAAAATTGACAACCGGTCCGCGATTTTTTTTTAATGTATCTACCGGTCCTTGGCACAATAAAGGTTGGGAACCCCTGTGTTAGACGATGTAGCTTTTTCATTTCTGAGTTATTGCTATATGTAAATAAGCCTGTTTGTAAATAATCCTCAGAGAAACAAAGAAAAAACACAATTTATGACATTTTGTGCTGTGGTTATTTTTTTTAAATTGCATTTATTCACAGTTCAGTTTGAAATGCTGTAGTGACTTGTATTGAACCACTTAAATATTTATAATTAATGCTACTGAAAAGATGCTATTAATTTTATATCTCACATGCAGTTCACTGTAAAGCTACTTGGTGAAGGTGTTGGTTCATAAAACATGAACAGTTTTAAGAAAGAAAAAAACAGACCAGTTCTGAGAACACAAATTCCTGGTAAAGTAGTAGATGTTCAGGTTGATAAATAATATTTTCCACACTGAAGATTATGGAGGTATTGATCAGTCTTCTCATATTTTTAAGCCTCGATTTCTCCTTTCCCCCCCCCTCTAACATCACCAGAAGTCATCATTTAAGGGGTCATTTCTCGAAAAAAGATTCCGGGGGGAAACCCCCCGGGTAGGTCACTTACGGTACGTCAAGAGCCCCACCAAAAAAAAAGACCACCGGCCGCCACTGGTCAACACATTTGGTAATGGTCGCTAAATTCAAAAGATAAATACATTTTGAAGTTTGTAAAGGTATGATGGCGAAGGGAGCAGCTTAACGGCAGAAGCATTACAATATGTGCTGTGTGTTTGTTTGTTTCCTAGAAATGAAGGATGCTCCGATCGCCAATTTTGGGGCCGATCGCCGGAATCAGTATCGGCCGATACTGATCGCCGGAATCAGTATCGGCCGATACCGATCGCCGATCCGATCGAGTGGGCGGGGCCTAAATGGGGATCTTCCATTCAAAGTTATGTTTACAACTCAGTTAATGGGGCTCATTCACTGGCGCTTCCACAAACAACAACTAACATAATTATTACATTCAAATGAAGTACATTAATCAAGTTTACATTAACTTAATAATAACACGGGAGAAATGAGCGGGAGCGCTCTCTTTTCCTCTCTCCCCCTCTCTCTCTCTCCTGACAGCCTGTCAGTATCGTCTCGTGCAGCTCACTGATCCAGTAATGAGTGACCCGACAGTGAAGAATACACATATTTATAACTAGTTTAGCTTGTTCCAGAGGTAGATAAAATAGCTAAGTGTGTTAGGTCTAACTCTTGTGTGTTTTGCTCCGCTCACCGGTCCGTCACAGCGGTCAGCGGTCCGTCATGCATCTGCATGGTAAATGGTCTGTACTTATATAGCGCTTTATCCAGTCTTTACGACCCTTCAAAGCACTTTACATTCTACAAGTCATTCACCCTTTCACACCTCATCCATACAGAGCAGTACTACTTGCTCTAGGAAGTTAACATTCACACACACTCACACACCATTGGCCATGTGACTGGGAGCAACTTAAGTATCTTGCCTAAGGATACATCGACATGTTGACTGCATGGGCTGGGTTCGAACCAACATCCTTCTTGTTGAAAGACGACCGCACGACCTTGTAGCCACAGTCTTCCCTATGCAGCATATTTATCTAAATTAACTTGTATTTATTTAAAACATGAAGCTATGTCGATAATCATGGATATGTGTTTAAATTGTCTGTTGATGAGCATGCACGTGGGTGAAGGCGTGCACACGTTATTGTTGTAGTTGTTTGTATGGACACGGAAATACTCTGCGTGCACATGACTATGAACTCAAAAATGACCAAGAATAATATTTACATTTGATTAAGGTTTGATATAGTTGGGCGTAACTTCACGGTATGAGTGTGGATCATAGACTGTATATATAAAGGTGTGGATGTGTATTTGAGTGCCTCTGTGTGATGGATTGATATGTGCAAGTGCCAAAAAGGGAAAAGTACAGAGTGTGTGTGTGTGTGTGTGTGTGTGTGTGTGTGTGTGTGTGTGTGTGTGTGTGTTTGCAGGGTTTCCGCTAGGATTTTTTCTTGCCGGTCAAATGTCCGGACAGAGTTTTTTTTACCGGACAAATTTGAAACTTACCGGTCATGTTTCAATAATAAAAAGAAGAATTGTGTAGCAGAGTTTCCGTTAGCAGGTAATTACCGGACTATGACCGGATATGCTGATGTTTAAAACTCAGTTAATGGGGCTCATTTTTATATTGCTTCAGTTTATAATCGTAACAGATCGAAAAATTCACATTCATTTTTCAATAAATGATTCCACAAACAACAAACAACAAACAACATAAGTATTACATTCAAACAAACTACTTGTAGTAGATGAAGTACATTATTCAAAAGTTTACATTGTAGTGATCACTGATTCATACACTGGGGTTACATAATTCAATCCAGGAACTGCAGGTTGGGGGTATTGTTTCCGCCCGTACATATATGTTGACGGTACCTCCGGGGTACCTACAGTGTGTGTGTCC